CTTAAAAATTTTAATTTTTTTTTTTATAAGTTGGGACATTAACACAGCACACACACACAGCGTCATCTAGTTCCATGATAAGCTACGAAGCTTGTGTTATGGATACCAGATAGTTGATACACTACACATATATAACTTTAAATACATACTTACATAATATAAATATAAACACCCATGACAGGAGTACAAACATTCGTCATGACACAAATGAATGCCCCCAACGGGACTCGAACCCGCGACCGCTGGCATAGAAAGTAGGGTCACTACAAACTGAGCCAAACGTGTCGTCATTGGAGAAATCAATAATTTATTTCAATTATCATTAAAGAAGTGTACTTTAATGACCAAATTTTTATAAACTGATTACACCAATGTATTTTTCGGGAAAAAACGAAATAAAATGGTGTCCTTCAGTTCTTAATTTATACAATGTCCCCGTAAGCATTTCAACTTCTCAATGAATATTGAATAGTAAGTTCTTACTGTGTAGATCAAAATGATAGCATTTCTGATTAATATTTTTTTACTTTTTCATTTGTAAATGTATGTAGTAATGTGTTGCTTAATAATTTGTTTTTTAAATAATAGCAAATTTAAATTTAAATTATTATTTTTAATTAATCTTAACTTTTTCAAATTACACATAGATCAATTACGCGGCTTAAATAATTAATATATTATGATTTTTTCTTTATGGTTATAAATATAATAATGGCAACACTAAAAATGTAGATTAATAATTAATATTTTTAAAATTGTAATAATTATAATAATAACAGCTCAAATTAAATAAATAATATTCCATATTCAATTATAAAGCTAATTAAAATTATATAAAAATGTTTAGAGTTAAAAGTTAAAATATTGTAAGGTACTTTAGTGCCATTTTTCAATTATTGAATTCATTTTGTTAATTGTGGGTAGGCTGTCTGTAACAACTATATAATACCTTAGAGACATCTAACACCTCAGTCTCTCCCGTGACCATGATTGCTGTAAAACATTCGAAACGTCGGGAACCAAAAATCAAAATAAATTCGCGAAAAAATCCGGAAAGATAGTTTTATTTAAAATGTCAAGTATTCGCGTAAATCTAAGAAAGAATATTGATTAGATTTAAATAAAGGAAATAATTTAAAAGTAATTAAAAAGTGTTTTACTTGCAGACTGTCGTAGGATATTGTCGAAAATGGAAAAAAATGGATTGCGCGCGGTTAATAAGTACCTATCTGTGCTTGAAAAATGTCACTACGGACCGACTTATTCAAGACTTACAGGACACTTTAGTAGCAAATTCTCCTCCACTGTATTCTACGATTGCACGTTGGTGTAATGAATTTAAACGTGGAAAAACGTCCACCAAAAATAACCCTTGCTCGGACCGCCGCACAATGGTAGGTAATGACCAAGGAAATGGTCATTACCTACTTAAATATTGTTTTAGCAGATCGCCATGTCACGGTACGTTTTAAAGCCGAAGAAACAAAGATTTCAACTGGTAGTGTGCACAGCATTTTACTCGAACGCTTTTGGGAATGAAAAAGTATCCGTGCGCTGAGTCTCCAGAACGCTTACCGATGCACAAAAACAAACTAGGCTGAACATTTCTCGAAATTCTTTGGAACTATTAGATCTTTAAGATCCTGATCGTTTTTTGTCTCAATTTATAACCATGGATGAAACGTTTCGACCCAGAAACAAAATTACAGTCTATGACTTGGAAAATACCATCGTCCCCAACCCCTGAGAAATTTAAGGCGAATCGTTCCGCGGGCTCTTTTTTCTGGAATAGTAAAGGAGTGGTCATGATAGAAAATCTTGACCATGGAGCTACTGTTATGGGCTTTTTGTATGCAGAACAAAAAAAACGCGTAACGATGTCCGCCGTTGCTATGGCTGCAATTCAAGATGCTGGCTTCGAAATACTTGAGCATCCTCCATATTTTCCCGAGTCCTGATTTTCCCTATTTCCAAGCTTCAATAGTCTCTAAGAGGACAGATATTCGAAAATGATGAAGCAGTAGTCGCTGCAATACAGGAATTTTTAGGTAATCAGGATGAAGATTTTTTTAAGAAAGGAGATTTATAGAAAAAAGATATCTCAAGTGTATTATGCTAAAATAGCATTTAATAAAACTTACCGGCAACATCATTCTCACTTTTTATCTATTCCTCTTAGGAATAATGAAATTTTATTTAAAAAATCTTTTGGTATCTTATAGCATATTTTTAGTTTAAGAAAGGTTAAAGGCTATCTTATATTCCGCTACGACCCTCAAAACTAAATAATTATATATCTACACTCACAGCACCTATTACAAAAACAGTTTTAAAGAAATCAGGAAAAAATTAACACGCTTTGGCTCAATATACCACAGACAGATTGCCTTCATGTACAATACTAATAACTCACCCTCGCTTCCCTCGGGCCGTCCTTAGGTACCAGGTAGGTAGGAATGAGATAACTACCCGCGGTAAAAAGTCACTCTCTAGTCTCCAGCGGTCTATTTTCACAAAACAAATCACGCCTATCATCACTCTTTCCACGTGAAAGAACAACGGAAGACAAACAAACAAACACACTTTCACATTTATAATATTAAGTATGGATATCAAATATCCTGTAGTTACCTAATAAAGAAATTTATTATTTTATATTTTTATCAACTGTTTGGATTAAAGCGCTTAGTTCATATTTAAATAAAACATTAAAATAACAATTATGTATTAAGTCTTTGTTCATATCTAAAATCGTAACTGATATTAATAACACACGCACTCTATACCTACGTTTTTTGCTTCATTGATGCCAATCTCTTTGTTCTATAAACCTTGTAATTCTATATGATAAACAATTGAATGTCATTTGAAGAAAAGCTTTAAAATCCCGCATAATACATACCTTTATGTTCCTTCGTCAACTTGGTCTCATCTTGTTAGTTCGCTTTTTATGCAGTCGGATTTTTTAATATTTGTAAATATTTTTTATTTGCAGCTTTTTAGTTTTGGTGAGTTAGATTTTTTTAGTTTTATTTAACAATTTCTAATCCTTAATTATTTTCAAACATATAGGTAAGTAGTATATATTTTTGTAATCGTCCCGTAGATAAAAAAAAACAAGTTGTATTTTGATACGCCACTCGATTGATTTGGACTACATTTTTTCTCAGAACACTACTTGGCGCCTAAGATCCGCCATTTTGATTTTTATGATATCTAAATACCCTATCACACTCGCGATATACAAGACGCATCTTACGATGTATTAAATCATAAAAATCGGTTGAGGCGTTTATCAATTGCGAAAGATCATAGGACTACCCATAATACATATAAAGATCAAACACATAACCCTCCCTCAGGCTTCGCGGCAGTCAAGTAAACACACTTACTAGGGAAATCTGTTCAATAATTCAATGCCACTAGCGCCACGTATACATACCCCAATACCGTGGGGTATTTATTATTTTTTGTAATACACTGGAGTCATTGTATTGTGACCCGTTTGTCACATTCAGTCAAGTGCGATTGGGTTTATACCTCCGAGGTATAAACCTTTTTTTTTTTTAACGTTGGGAAATGCATTTACGCACGAGGTGTGGGACTCTCCGGCGTAATAAAGCCAGTACTTCCCACTAAAACCCAACAAAACCTTCTCCCGTCTTAATGGGGCGTCGCAGGATCGCTTACGCATTCAACTACGACGCCCCGACGGCAGGTCTGCCGTGGCAAGTAAATATAATTAAAAAAGGTTTTATATTAGGTACGTTTTAAATTAAAATGGATATAGTATGTTATACTTAAAAGATAGACATATGCCATCGTGGACTTTTCTGTAAACCCATATAAGATACACAATTCCACCATACATTATTTTGTTATATCTCAAAGGGTTTAGGTAGCGTTTTCGTTGAAAGCTCCCAGACGGCTTATTTTTTTCCGACGCCTCCAACAAATATCATTATATTTTAGCCAATGTATACAAAAACATAACAAATTATACACTAAAACCTTAAACTCCTCGAGAACTACTCTATAAGTTGGTGAAAACAGCATGAAAATCGGTGCAGCAGTTTTTGAGTTGATCGCAAATAGACAGACAGACGCGGCGGAGGACTTTGTTTTATAATATATAGTGATTAGGGAAAATAAAAAGTTCATAAGCAAATAAATATATTTAATAGCGTTAAATGAACATGTTATACCATATCAAAGAACAACTATAATAAATCTTTAAGTTATCTGTAAAAGTTAAGAAAAAAAATTGAAGTAAAATTATCAGAATAGAAACCGTCATCATTAGATGAACAAAATATCGCGTATCTTGCAAATGATTTCGTATTTTTTTTTAATTCTAAAAATACTGTGGTGGCAATTATTATGATAACATGAAATCGATACTACAGAATGTACAGAGAAGTCTCTACATATTGTTTTTTCGGTCAAAAACTTTAATATAAATATCTATTTAATATTAAAAGTCATCAATTGAAATTATAATATAATAATTATTTTCTATTTCTTTGTAAGCTTTATTTTTTTTAAGTGAAAACTTTAGGTTCGTGTCACCAACGTGCTACGTGTGACATGTGACGTGTCGAGGCAGTCTGGCGACGAGCAGCGTCATATGTTTTTATTATTAATAAATAAATTATAAACTATATCAAAACGTAAATATATTTTTATAAAATTATCCAGCCACATTATAAATTACGGCGTTAACATTGAGAAATAAAGCAATCGACATCTTTGGGTATATTTTAATTCTAGCGCATTATCCAATCAAATCAGGATCGATTTCCTAATAGACACGGACAAACCTCAGAAACGAATATCCAGAATTATTTTCGATCAAATCATATAAAATATATGCACCATACATCTAGAATATTCGGTGTCTGAATTTAGAAAACGCACATATATATAACGCACATTGTAGCCAGCCTAAGGCGCGATACAGCACTATGCTTTTTTGCGACATTTTATGTCGGTAAAAATTACAGTATACCTTCAGGTGGAGATTTGAATACATTATAAAGTTCCAACAGTTGTTTATTCTTGCTACTTTTTATATTTCGTATGTCTGTACGTCTGCTTATATGTACTTTAGCACCTTCTAAGCCCGACCATTCTTTGGCGAGCGAAACCAATTTACTCCAGGGCATTGTCCACTCGCCTTGAAGGTACTAGAAAAAAATACACAATTATTTGTATTAAATTATACATTGGATAGCGCTTTCTTAGATTTACACGCATATTTGACATCTACAAGTACATGTACATTAATATTATAATAAAGAGGAAAGATTTGTATTTTTGTATGTTTGTAACGAATAAACTCAAAAAATACAGGACCGATTTAGATGAAATTTGGTAAGAAGATAGTTTGAGACCCTGAGAAGAACATAGGCTATTTTTTATTCCAGAAATCATCCCTTAAGGAGGTGAAAATGGGGATGAAAATTTGTATGGGGAATAATTTAGCGACGAACCCAAAAGAAACGAGGGTGAGCCGCTAGTTTTGAATAAAACTACATATATTTTCGAATGTCATTGCGGAATTATTTTGATTTTTGGTTCCCGATATTTCGAATGCTTTACAGCAATCATGGTCACGGGAGATACTATACCATTGGGAACAAATAACAATTCTTATAACGTTTGGGACATTGTTACATTTAAAAAGAACTAAACAGTTTTCTATGGCGTTATTTCATTATAGTTTCATTTCGATGGACCCAGTATTTGATATTTATTATGGCTTAATAAAAATACGCATGTGGTAATGTGATGTTTAAGTATTCCATGGAAATTATGGGATATTTGAGTCCGGTACATAAAAAGTACCCTATGACACTCCAGCATAAGAACTACCCAAAAAAGCAAAGACCGCTAAACAACTAACCAACAAACTTTCAGATTTATAATGTTATAATAGTATTAGCTATAGCCCGCGGCACTGCTCGCGTATCTAGTTTATTTTTTGCATAATTGTGATTTTACTGAAACTCTTGTGTGATGTTAATTATTATTAGTATTTTATCTTGCTCAATAAAAAAAAACGAAGGTATTTTCAAATATGACTATTTGTTCCAGAGATTAGTGCGTTCTCACAATATTTTTTTTTATTTTATAATATTAATCTTATAATATTAAATGAGCAATTCTTTTATATAGGTATATAAATTTAGTTCGTGTATTTCGGAAACGGCAATAACGATATGGATCAAATTTCGTGTATAGTAGATAGGATTTTGTTTTTTTAAGTTTATCTACATATATAGGCGTCTTTTCTGAAAAAACGCAGATCGAAGCTCAGTCACCCAGGTCATAAACAAAAATTAATAAATAAAATAAATATGTTGAGACATTAACACACAGCATCATCTAGTTCCATGGTAAGCTACGAGGCTTATGTTATGGATACCAGATAGTTGATACACTACACTTATATAACTTTAAATACATAAATATTATAAATAATATATCATATATTCCTCACCTGATCAAATGGCCGTTTACCGATATGAAACATGATATACAGTAATGGCGCTTTATTTAACGGTATACCTTCTTCAGACTGCTCTTGAATATTTAACTCTTTGTATATCCTCTCACAGTGCAGTTGGAGATGGTCGTACATAACCTATGTTAGAAAAATATTACTTTTATATAAAATTTTCCTTATTTTTTGAAGAATATAAACTATATGTACGGCAAATTAGAGAACAGTAGCAATAAATAAACAGCTAAATCACGCTACTATTTTTGGTTTAGACATTTTTTGGTGGACTCAGCCTATATAATTTTTTTGTTTGAGTACTATCACTTGTAATTTGTTAGCCACTTTGAAACTTCAATTTGAAACTCTGTAGGTACATGAAATTCTGATAACAGTACAAAAATGTGATACTATCGAGCTTATCTGAGGCAGCCAGGAAATGGTTGGAGCACTTTTTTATACAAGTATAAAGTACAAAAACAAGTACTTATGTGTAAAAGTTACTAGTAAGAAATGTTTATAATCTATACTCGTTTCTGTCTTTAGCTTCATACGCTTTAAAATATTTCAAACTCTTAATACGTTTTTAAATAGCGCCATCTATTACAGGCAATAGGTTTTTGTTATTTATCAAAGTTAATTACTATTACTTTACGATATAATAATATTGTTGGGATAAGATATCTCTTGTATATTGCTCCAGGAATTGGTCTTTGAACTGAGTTTCATACAAATTGGCTCTAAGGTTACATAATAGAGTTACCAACGGACATATATCTTCAAACACTAATATTATAATATAAAAAATACCCTTAAACTGTCTCTTCCAGCTGAAGTCATAAGTATTTGACTCGTCAATGCTGCCGCGTCACTTTCACGCTCTGCATTTGAAGCCGGGACGTTACCCTAAAATGGTATTACATATATATCAATAATGAATACTATAAAATATAGTCGTTATTTCTTTCTATTTGTGCAGTTTGTTCTAAATTGTATTCAGCCCTTTTTAACGTCCCACCGCTGGGGGTGGGCCTCCCTTCAGTACGAGGGGGATCAGGCTATAGTCCACCACGCTGGCCGAGTGCGAGCGGACTGAGTATGTCTTTCGAAAACTTGCTAGGTTTTCTCAGACACGTAGGTTCCTCACGATGTTTTTCTTCGCCGTAAAATAAGTGGTAATCAATCATGTTAGAAATGATTCGCACATGAAAATATCAGAGGTGCGAGACCCGGGATTTGAACCCGCTCCAATCGATTTTCCAGCGAGCGCGTTACCACTGTGCTACAGCACAGGGGTAACGCGCTCGCTGGCTAAGGCTAACGGGTTTAGGGAATATTTTCCTAAAAGAAAGCAATTATTTAAATTTATCCTAAAACTTTGCATAAGTTACGCATTATCTAAATAATTAATGTAATGTTTAGTTAGATTTTTAAATCAAAAACTCCGTACCTCTTCAAAAAATTCCGCAAATTCGGGGAAATCTTCTAGACCGAAGTTATCACTGATTTTATAATTATTTTTGCTCTGTACAACAAGATTTTCTATTTCGGATGTGTGTTTATGGTCTTCATCTATGGAACATAAAGCTTCAGCTATCGCTAAAGCTATGGACGATGGCGAACTGTGCGACCCGTCGAAAGATGCTGAAGAAAATGTTGCTAGTACAATAATAAAAATCTCATTTTCATTAACTATCTATCCATATCCATAATAATAAAATTGTAACTGATTGCTGTCTGTACGTGGAAGATATTGGAGAAAAAACTATTATTGGGGGTCTTCATTAACACAATAGAACCCAAAATAATGATTTTTAGAATATTTGTCTGTGCGTTTGTGCGCGATAATCTCAGAAACGGCTTAACCAGTTTGGGTCCAGTTTTCACTAATGTATTGTGGTAAGCTTCACTTAACATTAAGTATTAGTTTTATTTCAATCGGTTCATAAATAAAAAGGTTATGCCAACTTAAAGAATCACCTAGAGACGAACCCGAACGAAGCGAGGGTGAGTCGCTAGTATAAATATAAAAATTGGGCCCATTTAAAATATTTTACATTTCTGAAGTAGTTTTCGCCTGCAGGATTATGTGCACATTTAATCAAAACAATATATACCAAACAATTACGAATTACGTGGAATATTCATGTTCAATTTAATTTTTACCTTTAGAAAATGCATTGACGCATACCACCTACAAGGACTAAAAACTCTAATACACTATAAAAAATCTGAAAAAATAATATATCTGAAAAATTTAATAAAGACCATCTCCTTCTAAAAAGAACGTTCTATTAAGACAGGGATGGTTCCGCACGATAATTTACGTATTAAGCCACGAATGGGGTATCTATACTCTTATATCGACGACGATACCATATTATATGCTTTTATTATTATCCGTATAAGTATTACGACTTAGGAGTAGCTTACCTGTACGATTGAAAGACACGACTCTAGCTTGCTTAGATTTTTTATATTGCTTGACATTCATATCATGAGCATCGCCATTGGAGACTGAAATACAATAGTAGAAATAAAAGGAAAAAAAAATATAAATAAGATGTTTTCTTTACATACATATATATACTTAACAAGTGACACTCTCGACTAGCTTGAGTGCATTTATAAGTGTCTTTTGTATTTATATTTTGGAAAATTTTACTATCAACCTTTACACATTTAGTAGCTATTTGCTACTCCAGATCATACCTGAGGCATATCTTTGTACTTATCCCAATCCATCCAGCTATTTTAGCGTGAAGGAGAAACAAACACACGCACGCCCACATACAAACGCACAAGCACACAAACATACAAACGCATAAACGTGACACGCACACACGTATTTATAATAGTAGTGTCAGGTCGGATAGTAGTTCAATCTCAGAGAGACATCGGGTACTCAATCCGAACACGTCAATCATTCCATAGGATATGTGTTCAGCCCTTTTTAACGTCCCACTGGGATCAGGCAACAGTCCACCACGCTGGCCAAGTGAGGGTTGGCGGACTTCACATGTCTTTCGAAAACTTGCTAGGTTCTCTCAAACATGCAGATTTCCTCACGGTGTTTTCCTTCACCGTAATTCAAGTGGTAATTATGTTAGAAATGATTCACACATGAAAATATCAGAGGCGCGAGACCCGGGATTTGATCCCGCTTCACTTGGTTTTCCAAACGAGCGCGTTACCACTGGGCTACCACTTGCCTCTATGGGATATAACATTTAAAATTCAAAATTCCTCCTTATAAATATGAACTTACCACTCTTTTCCTTAACAGTCTCCTTCTTAGCCCATTTAAGTAACTCCTCATATGTTATAATTATTAACATTTGCAACAAAACCGACCCTCCGACAGGGTTTATTTGTGATGGTAACGTCGATTCAAGTATGGCGGCCGCATTTTTAAAGCAACGAGGAATGCAATCTAACGTTCGGGATATACAGGACAAACAGAGCGACATCGTCTGAAATTCAACAAGACATACATACATTTGTTTGTATGTACTTAATACTTTCTTAGATTTACGCGAATATTTGACATTTTAAACAAAACTCTCTCTTCAAATTTTTCACCGTCTCTCCCGTGACCATGTTTGTTGATTCGATGATGTGCATTCGAAACATCGGGAGCCAAAAATTAAAATAAATTCGCGAAAAAGTCCGAAAAGATCCGTTTTATTAAAGATATATTTATATGTTGCATTTGAACTGGTAAAGTTATTTAAAACAATATTAAAAGTGTTAATGAATATTGTTTTTTATTTATTTTTATAATAATAAATACTTATTAATTGTACGAAAAAAGACGCCCAAAAATCGATCTAGCTACTATTGAATAATGCGTGAATAGACACACAAATCTATACAATATTATAAAGAGGTAAAGTTTGTGAGTTTGTGAGGTTGTAGGGGGTAAGTAATATCTGAATCTGCTAACTGATCTAGATGAAATTTAGTAAGAAGATAGTTTGAGACCCTGGGAATGACATAGGATATTTTTTATCCCGGAAATCATTCCTTAAATAGACGAACATGGGGATGAAAGTATGTATGGGAATCAACCTAGGGACGAACCCGAGCGAAGCCAGGGTGAATCTCCAGTGTTGAAATAAAATTATTGAATTCTACTTTTCCACTTTTATTAAATCAAACAAAATATTACATGTATAATTAAAAACAAAACTAATAAAAACATAAAATCTAATTACATTTTTGACCACATCAAAAAATGAGGAGGTGCATTATTAAGTGCGGTCATCCGGACTGAATGAAAAATTTTCATTGTTCTTTTTTTTCAATTAATAGGTCAAATGTATGTAGAATACGAATCTCCAGATAGATTTAAAAAAAAACAGCCTTTACGATGGAATAATTTCTTTTAAAGTGATAAATAATCAGTATACCATTTTAGTTTAAGAAATTTGAATTTACAAGTGATAAGTAAAATTAATTCTGATAAACTAAAGTAAAATAAAGGTTTTAAAGGTTTTAAATTAATTATTACCTGATACATTGAAGCGCCAGTTTGTATAGCATTAACTAGTATGGGCGGGACGAATTGTAAGGAAGTGCCTACTACCGCTAATATTCCGGCTAGCCATGGTGGCCTTCGATCGCACCATACCTAACAAAAAAGTATATGAATTTACTTGATATTTTAGTCAAAATTCTATATACTTAATAAAAAAGCGCTGAATACGTTTTTATGTTATAGAGGGGTGGACTTATGAAACGTAGGTGAGAAATATACAAAAATCTCTTCTATGACACGTATTTAGACAATATTTTTTTGCTCAATAGGTATTTTTAGAGTTTTCTTTAAGTTGAGTGAGTGTAGTAGGTACTCTTACAAATAATACGATTACGTAAAAATATAACATAGAAATCTGACGATAGCACAGCAAAGAGCAGTCGAAAAAAACACTCGCATGCCAAATACGACATATAAAAAAAACTTTGTTCACTTCATCATCCATACGAAGACGACAATTGTAATTAATTTAGACAAAAAATTGAACATTTTACTACAAAAATATAAAGACTAAAAATATTTTTTTAATAAAAAATCCAATCCCTTGTTGTGATAGAGTGAAAAACTTGGGCCTAATAATGGATTGTAACATGACCTGGGTAGCTCATGTCAACGAGGTCAGCAAACGAATGCATCACTCTTTCCACTCTCTCAAGCGTCTCCAATTCTTTCTCCCATTTAGTACCAAGATTATGCTTGCTCAAACCCTTCTTCTCCCCATACTTGACTACGCTGATCTGTGCTATTTGGATGTGACTGAGGAGCAACTTAACAAACTAGAGCGTCTCCAGAATCTAGCTATTCGCTTTATTTTTGGCTTGCGCAAGCATGACCATGTATCAAACTTTCATGCTCAAATTAAATGGCTCCCAATCCGACTTCGCCGTGATATGCACATCCTTTCCTTCCTCTTCAATATTCTTAACGACCCAAATTCTCCTCCCTACCTTCGTTCCCGTATCCAACTTCTCCCTATCCCCTCACGTTCCAGGCGGTCTTACGTCATGTCAATGCTCGACATACCAAAGAGTAAGACACATTTTTTTTCGCACTCTTTCTCAGTATATGCCTCATTACTCTGGAACAAACTCCCTAAATACATCCAAAAAAGCCCCTCTAAAACTTCTTTTAAAAAAAATTTAAAACAGTACCTTCTGTCACAAATTGGTCCTTAATTTTACTATAAGATACAATATTTTTATGTATTCCAAATGCATACGATTATATTTATGCTTTAATATTATGTATGTATATATGTATGTATATGTGTATATAGTATGTATAATATGTAAGTTATTGTATATTTATCATTTTATGTGTCTTTTTGTCTTATTTAATTGTATAATTATTTATAATTATTTTAAATCAATTGCACTCTTTTAGTCCCGTCATATAACACTATTTCTCACTTTCGTAGGTTGGCTGGAAGAGATCTCTTCTAGAGATAAGTCCACCTTTGCCCACATTCGTCTCTGTATTATCTGGGTTACTCTGTTAATATGCAATAAAGGATATATATATATATATATATATATATATATACATATATAAATACCTGACGTTTATCCAAACAAGCGGACCAATCCCTCCCCGATAACTCCAAAGCATAACAAAGTGTTGATTTCAGTTCAGATTTACTGCCAATCGTTGCTAAAATATAGGACAAGGCGCCAACTGCACGAGCGTATTCCTCTCCGGCTGCAAAATGCATCAAAATACATATGTAACTAGCGACTTACCCTCACTTCGCTCGGGTTCGTCCCTAGGTGCGTTTTAATTTTTTTGAGCGGAACCCTCATTTTTTTCTAAAATAAAAAAAGCCTAAGTTTCTCTTTATAACATCAGCTATCTACATACATATATTTATGTAGTTAGCTGATGTTATAAGGAGAAACGAACCTAGAAATGAACCCAAGCGAATCTACGGTGAGTCGTTAGTGTATGCATATAGCCAAAAAAATTTTTATAAAAAAAAAACAAAAAAAAACTCACCATCAATATCCCCTTTGAATTTACAAAATCCATCCACAGTGCACAAAAAACCATCGCACTTCCTCCCGGCGCCGCCCCCGCCGTACCACAGGCCGGCGGCGGGCCAGCGCGCGTGCTCCGCGGACATGTGGCGCGCCGCGTGCAAGGCGAGCAGGCGGGAGAGGTGGCAGTCTCGCATCATTAGCACCTTGAAATTATAAGATACTAACCTAGCATGGTTTTTAATTTTTATGCACGGAACCCAAATTTTTGAAGTAAAACTTAGTAGGTAAGCTGGTGAATGCGTTACGAAAAACTATACGTATTTTGGTTGCCATGGTAAAAGTTGTTATGTCTGACATATGTATGATATATTATATTATATTCTTTCTTTAAATGATATTCTATAAAAATATTATTGTAATATGCCTAATATGCGTTATTTTTAGTATGTCACCTATCCTAATTATTTAAAACATAAATTGAATTTCATAAAGAGTACCGATAACCTACAGAAGTTTTACTTCTTGTGCGTGTACACATTCATACACACATACTCTTTAATTTTTTTCTAAAATAAAATTATGTCAAGTTACTCCTTATAACACCAGCTATCTGCCAGTGAAAGTCTCATCAAAATCGATCCAGTCGTTTAGAGATTAGCCGGAACAAACAAATAGGCAAAAATTTTAAGGATTATTTTTTTATATATAGGTACCATATAAACTATATAATATGCATTTAATACTTATTAAAAAGCTGTTATTTTGACATTGTAAACAGATACTTCAATTTTATTTATTTGTATAGATTATGTATTAACATCGTAAATGAAATGAAAGAAACATTTTTAGTATTTACATGCTACAGCGTTTTTTTTTTAAATCGGAGCAGTGCGAGTCTGATTCGCACACCAAGGGTTATGCACCATAAAACATGCCATTGTATGCTGTTTAACATACTTTGTTATGTCAAAAGTTAAATAAAATATTTACCCGTTTAACACATTGAATTTATTAACGGCATAAATAAGTTTGTAATTATGAAATGTAAAATTAACGGTCGAACGCATGTAACAGATAATATTCCATACCTCAAAAACTACTTAATGTATTTTCTTCGAAATAACTTTTGTTGAGTTTGGAATCTATATTGTCTCTTTTTTTATTTTACTTTTAGGTAAATATTAAAGTATATATAAAATACCTTAACAATTAAAGCCCATGAGGGTTGGGGTTGTGCTAATAACACCCTCAATTCTAAGCCCAAAGCGGTTTTAGTTGATAATTCTTGAGTATTCTTAGCGTTTTTATCTTCTATGCCATCAAATAGATTTGGGTTTATAAATGTGAACCACGGGAACGGTGTATCTTTTGTGGACTTTGTTTCTTCCTTATCTGTAAATGCCTGCGAATAATTAAATAATAATGAATGTTTATATAGAAAACACACCAACTTATTTAATACAAAAATAATTTTTACTAACTGTCAAAATTAACTTAATTAATAAACTCTCTTTTTCCAGTTTAATTTGAAAAATGATATTTTTTGTAGACAGCGCTTAGCTTTTGTAAATACTATGATTTTTGAGACATAAAAAACTTTAAGTCTTTCCCGTGACCAAGTTTGCTGTAAAGAACTACTTAAAATACGGAAAATAGATCATCCAGAACACAAAGGCTTGTTATTACAGTACCTACCGACCAGGCAAACGAAGCGGTTAAAAAAAACTATTTTTACAACATTAGTAAAAAAATACAAATATTAATAAAATATATATACATATAATAAGCACACTAAAGAATCACAGCGCTCGCGACCGTTTTCGGCCATGGTGGCGCACTAAGCAGAAGTTTTGAGAGTAAAAGGAAAAGAGAGTGCACGTTGTGTCTGCGCGTACACTGGTGCACTACAATATCTCCTGCGCAGTTGGCTAATCTTAGTGAGATTGGCCGCCGTGGCCGGAATCGGACGGAACGTAGAAAGCGTTTTACGTAAAAAAAGAACCTACCTGATGTAAAAAATGCACTTCAGCACCTCTATAGACCATACATTTGAACAGTTCATTGCATTTTGCGTGAACATCCCTCACGTCGCGGGACTGCTTGCTTGTCTCCAAACCGGCCAAATCCGAACCGTTAGAGCATATTGACGGTAAAAGTTGTGATACACAGAGTAAAATATTCAGTATATCGTTTATGAGGAGTGGTGTTGTTGTGTTTGTTGTGTTTGTCTAGAAATAATATAACATATAATATATCTACCTACTATCTAAACTAATCTATACATATAATAAAATTCTAAATAAGCCAAATCTGTACATTAAATATTTTTTGGAAAATCTTATTGCAATAGAAATTATTATCGATACAGAGGCCGAATCTATAGTTTTTAGAATTTTTGTCTGTCTGTCTGTCTGTTACCGGATCACGGAAAAACCACTGGAGGGATTTTGATGAAATTCGGTATGAAGGTAGCTTGTTATCCGGGTCAACAAATACGATACTTTTAACCGCGGGAAAATATCTCATTTCAGAGAAAAAATACAAAAACTGCAATGTAAGAGTATACTAATATGTAAAACTTGAGAATTTGGTTTTTAATCATCTGAATGCGGGCGGAGCCGCAAGCTTTGCTAGTATTATATAAAGGTAAAGTTTGTATGTAGGTAATCTCTGAAACTACTGATCCGATTCTGCTTTTTTTTTCACAAATATGAAGCTGGTTTTAACTGTATCGCCGAGTGTTATAGGATGTTTTTATTCCGATAAAAATGTACCTTTTTACTGTCAGAAATCATAATAATTTTAAATGAAGTCGGAAAAAACTGACCGTTGAATTGCATAACGTTTGCGTTATCTTTACTGTCTTAACGGTTTGAATTTTTAAACATCACGATGAGCCATTACTGCGTGAATTTATGACAAATAAACAAACCTCATACACTTTTTTTGAATTTAAATCGCATTTATAATTGACTACCAAGATTCGAACCCACGCCCTATACAGTAAGATTATAATCTCATGTTAGCAGCTGTAGCAAATTGTTTTTATATAGATATACAATATTTACCTGGCAATATCTAACAGTAAGTATTGTTAAAGTTTCATTCAACATCCCGGCAAAAATTCTTTGGGCCATTCTAGGGGGCGCTGTGTCCCATAAATCTTTCTTACTACCTGGAAATAGATCAGTTATTTCAGCATATTTAATGCAAACATATGAATAAATAAATATTTGAATGTAGAAATGAATATCTATTTATAGTATAATATGTTAAATATTTTTACATCAGTATTTTTAACAAAATCTTTTTAACTATTTCCTATTCACGCAAGAAATAATTACGACAAAAAATATAACCAGCAGAAAGAAATCCTACGAAAATTAACATTTAATAAGAAAACAGTTTACACTTGACCTAAACTTACATTGCAAACTTGCAATAATGTATAAATTAAAGAAATAAATAAAAGAATGAATGAATGACAGAATGAATGAAAAAGTAATTAAATACCATAACAAAACAAATATCTACATTTATTATAATACGAATATATATACCATTCATATAAAGCCACCATCCCTGCACAGACGGAGTGCCACACTCATTGACAGTATTACTCTCATCGTCTATTGGTCTACCGCCTGAGTCTTGCAATATGTATAGAGATAGCACTCTATTGTGTAGATCTAACACTCTCTCTCCGACAGCCTCAGACATTGTTGAATAACGTTTGTAGGCTGCCTGTTGGCCAGTTTCGAAATATTCTTTATGTAAATAGATTTTAGGTAGCACTTTTGAATCGTCGATTTTTACATAATATATTTTTTATTCTAATTAAATGTCAATATGAGAGTCTGTGAGAAAACTATATTGGCTAGCAAGGCAGTTCTACTAAGAAGAGCTAGCGATAAACTCATCAGTTGCTCTTTTAAAAATAATTTTTGTTCACAATATTGCAATACAATATATGTATGTAGAATAAGTAAGTAATCCTATGTGAATATCAACAAAAAATAGTTCCACACATTTATATCTACAAAGTATTCCGTGACGAAATAATACGCTTTCCTCAATAAACATCATCTTGTATCTAAATTAATTGCATGGGCGAGTAAATTGCCCAGAGCCTGACCTTAATTGTTTTGCTTTTTTTTATTATTTGTGACTAAGTTCCCCAAAATAACACACTGTGTGAAAAAAAACTGCCGATTACCTATTATGGTTTAAAAGAAACAGCCCTTTACACAGAAAAATAATTGGATAGCATAGGGTAATAGGGTTAGTAATAGGGTTCCATTAGAGCCCTTGGCGTACGAAACCCTAAAAGATGAATTGGTATTGAATATTTAAGAAAAATTGTGAAGGATTAGCAATAGGTTATCAAACCAACCCTTTGGAGTCATAAATGATGTTCAATTTTGATATATTATTATTATAATATTAAGCCATTATAAATAAAATATTGAAAGTTACCTGCAGTATAGAATGTCTTTCAGTGTTGCCAGAATCTTCGACATGTTGGACATAGCAATATAAGCTGTTTTTCAATAAAGCGGACGCTCCTAATGTCGCTGTTAGTACTGGCAAGTCAGCGTGGTCCAAAGCCTCTTGAGCGAGAACGTGTAAATGTTCTACAAACATATACATAATATATTTTAATGTACAGAAGAAATAAAGACATTTCATATTTAAATCTAGAGACTTGTGAGGTCTCCGCTATATTAAGTTACATTTCTCTTTGTTTTGTTACTAACATTGAGTTAAAAAATAAAGTATTTCTTATATATTCTTAATATGAAACTTCTAGAAAATTTTCTCCAAGTGTTAATAAGAACAGAATCAAAATTACTTCTACAATAAAGAATTAAATGTATGCAAGATTGAAATATTTTCTGACATATTACTATCAATGGAATAGGTCATAAGTAAGTTGATGGCATAAATCAAAATATACTTTATTCAAATAGACTTTTACAAGCACTTTAAAATATATAATAATAAATAAATGTTGGGACATTAACACACAGCACCATCTAGTTCCATGGTAAGCTACGAGGCTTGTGTTATGTATACCAGATAATTGATACATTACACATATATAACTTAAATACATAAATATTATAAATAAAAACACCCATTACTTTAGTACATACATTCGTGCACATTACACAAATGAATGCCCCCAGCGGGACTCGAACCCGCGACCGCTGGAACAGCAAGTAGGGTCACTACCAACTGAGCCAAACATGTCGTCAAATAATAAATAAAACAAATACAACCATATTATATATATATATGTTACTTTGTATAAGTGTATGGTAGGATTCCATACGTAATGCTGTGCAAATAAATATCAAACTCGTATCAGGTGGTCAACTTTGTAATACTTACCCAATAAAGAATCACTAGATTTAGTAGCAAGCTGAGCAAATTTATCGGGATCTGATGTTTTAGCAACACCACCCTCTAAGTCTTCTTCTTCAAGAGTTACAAGCATGCCCGAGCCATGCCTATAAAGAATCAATTTCGAAATATAAACTTTTTCATATATTTTATACATTTTGACTAATTGTATTTGTATTTTTATTTTCAATTGCGACTTATCCTCGCTTCACTCCCGTTCCATATGTTTAATTTTATTGAGCAAAACCCTCTTTTTCTAAAATCAAAATAGCCTAAGTTATTCCTAGCTATCTGCCAGTGAAAGTCCCGTCAAAATCAGTCCAGCCATTTCGGAAATTAGCCAGAACTGCACAGACAGACGAAAATATTGTTTTTCTTATAAATACTGTATATAATTTCATTTAGTAAAAAACTGTTATTTTGACCTTGCAATACAATTTTTATTTATCAGTATAGATAATGTTCAATACTAGCCGTCTCAACAAACTTTGTGATGTCGCAATAAAATTACTTGTGATCTTTGATGTTCTTGTTGTTAAAGAAAAGTAGTTTCGCATGCAATTTTTCCCAAAATGTTTTCTCCTAAGAACCTCATTCAAACTATTAATACATTTAAAAAATATGCCAATTTTTATTTTTAGTAAAATTTTTAGTCTAGCTATTCACAAGTACTTACCAACAAACAGTATTTCAATTTTATTTGTTTAATATTAAAACTTAACCATAATACAGTATTGCACTTACTGAAATGCTATCGAAAACTCTTCCTCCAACCAAAGTACAATTTTGACAGCTGCAAATGAAGCACTTCTAGGAAAATCTAATCTGCCTCCAACAACTCCTCGGCAAATTTTCTCTGAGAGAACTGTTTGATTCTTCTACAATACATTATTATATTAGTAGATTTATATATTTTATAAGCATACCCATTAAAAAAAAGTAACTGAATATAAATGTTTTTGCCATTGTAGTTTAGACTTAAATGAAATTAAAAATTTGTTAAATCCATCACATTAAATTTTCATTGTGAACTTTGATGTGAATTAAAAATGTTGGAGAAAACATGAGTTCATTGTATGATTTACTAAATTTTTCATAACTAAATTAAAAAAATATATGTTTAAAAAGACTGCAGTATTTATTTATATTGCAGAAGTAGTTGTTAATTTATTTTAATATTATCGAAAACCTTAAATATTAAATATTAAAGTTACAACATTCAATAAACAGTACCTGATAATATTCTAGATCCCTTTGTAGTAGAATAGGAATCCTATCCATAATATTTCCATCTTCAATTACCTCCATTTTGAATTATAATAAATAAAACAAAAAACAACTGATACCTACTTATATTACAAAAATATACAGAGCCAAATTACATAGAGCAATGAGAACAATTACTGAAGTCTACATCAGTTACAATTTTAGATATTTCATCTTGTAATAAGGTATGTAAAGTTATCCCATCATGTTTATATATCCAGTAACCACCATTTTTTAATATTAAATCATAACGTTTTGGGCCAGATGTGGGAGAACTTAACCAAATTTGTTTGTTCGGTGTCTGTCTGTTTATTACATAAGTTCCATAACTGGATCCAAGGAAAACTGTTAAAACTCCATCCTGTAATTAGAAGATAAAAAATTGGTTTTAATTTTTTAAATTAAATCTGTACTAATATTATAGAGGTAAAGTTTGTGAGTTTATGAGGTAGTAGGGGGTAATCTCTGGATCTACTGAACCGTTTTAAATGAAATTTAGTAAGAAGATAGTTTGAGACCCTGGGAAGGACATAGGATACTTTTTACCCGGAAAATCATCCCTTAAGGGGGTGAAAATGCGGATAAAAGTCAATATTGGGAAATAAGCTAGGGACGAACCCGAGCGAAGCGCGGGTGAGTCGCTAGTTTGCAGAATATAAAGCAAACATGAAAAAAATATTACTCACACTAAATGTTACATCAGCACCTTTCAAATTTGATGACTGATCCACTAGCTCATCGAAATATTCATACAGAGATTCTAGAGTTTCGGTACATATTTTATCATACACTACTGGATCTATATTGTCTGATGTTTCAATTTCTTGAGAACTTGAAGTAAGTTGTCGAGTTGATATTACAAAATTCAACGGTTTACAAGATTTTTGTAAGGAATAACAGCATAATGAAGAAACAAGGTTGCGCTTATCGATTTGTCTTCGTACCAGGTGGCGACTGGTACGTAAAATATTCCTCAACATATCGAATAAAATACAATTTTCAGCTTTCCACTGCGAAATTTATTTTTTGAAGTTTGAACAAAATACTAATGTCTAATAGTGACATTTGACATTGATACTTGATACTGATCAATGTTGCCACCTTGCAGAAAACTTTTTCACTAGTTTGACGACACGTTTGGCTCAGTTTGTAGTAACCCTGCTTGCTGTGCCAGCGGTTGCGGGTTTGAGACCTGCTGGGGGCATTCATTTGTGTGATGAGCACGAATGTTTGTAATCCAGTCATGGGTGTTTATATTTATAATATGTATGTATTTAAAATTATATATACGTAGTGTATCAACTATCTGGTATCCATAACATAGGCCTCGTTGCTTACCATGGAACTAGATGATGGTGTGTGTTAATGTCCCAACATATTTATCATTAATTTTTATCAGTTTTGGTCTGAAATTTCACCAGATTTTGGGATATTTTTCTCTAAATAAATCACCAGAATTCACTAAATAATTTAAAATGAAATCACAAGGTAAGTTAAAAAAATTATATTTTAATTTGGAGTAAAATTACGAAAAATATACATGACAAAACTAAAAATCAACTTCAAATACTTCTGCTGGTATTTCTTCATCTTCTTCGTCTTGATTGATTATTATTGCACATATAGACGGCTCAGCTGGATCATCGGTTTTGTCGGACTTTTTTGATTTAGAAAAGTATTTAGAATTGCTTTCAATAGCAGTAATTATATCAGCCCCAGGGAGCTCGTAACTGAAAAAGCTTTTATTCATTATCTTTAACTGATTTCTAATAAAAAAAATGTTCTTAAGATTGCTTACAGCCATTTTGTTTCTTAATTTGTTTTTCACGATATCCATAGCACTAAATGCCTTTTCCACTTCAGCAAATAGGTAATTTTTACTCGGCGTTGTATATTTTACTTTAACCCGGATCCAAAACACAATATTCGAAAATATCACTTAAACTCATCAAATAATTTTTCAGTGTTTTTTTTTCATAATATCACTGTCTAATTCCTAAAATTCATTAAATCTAGTGAGAAAATCACTAAGGTGGCAACACTGTGACTGATAGTGACATTGGACAGTGACAGTGATATAATATTTAACATTGATAATAACCATAGATGAAGAATAATATGAGCGACTGCAGACAAATACAGATACATAATTTTATTTTATGCGTCTTAGCTTCCATTAGGGAATATATTTTTTTTTACGTTTCTTCAAACATGTTTTATAATTTATATTATTTATTATTAGATTTCTCTTCATTGCCATTTGCATTTGGCTGTGAATCTATTAGCATATATGCATTTTTTGCTGGTAGCATCCATGGATTTGCTAAATAAGCTGGTGATAATATAGATATTGAAGGTTCAGGTATTCGAGGAATAGGCAGCAAAGAATTATATTGACTCCAACGGGGGCTTATAAAAAATAAATGGCGAGTTCTTTTTTCTTGCAATGGTCGGAAATTACCAGTGTTAGGTTCATCCCAAGGGTTCCATAATTTTCTAAATTCTTTCATCTACAATAAAAGTGATTATTAAAAATTCTATTGCTCAATTTCACCAACAACCCATAAGCTACTACCTACGTATGGGATCCCTAGCTTAAAAGTCCCCTAGACAAGCCCCTAAATTAAATTTCGCTTTACCATCGTCAGTGCCAGTATTTCTAGTACCTATATTTAGGTGGCATTTTAACATTTAGGTGACCCCTAACTGTCGGTGAAATAGAAACTGTCCCCTAACAGCCCCCTAACTATGCTTAGGGGATCCCTTAAACCTAGGTGACGTTGGTGAAATCGGCCATAAAAGTTTTAAGCAGATCAAGAAGAAATCAAAAAGTTAAAACAAAAATAAACTCATGGCAACTATTACATTGCAATACATATTAACGATAGCATCGATCATCTATATAATATAATGAAAGCTAAAATATGAGAAAAATATATACTCTAACCTGTTCATATGAAGCATACAAAGTTGCTCTCGGCACCATCCATCTTACCACGTAACTGTCACCTTTAACAGAAGTCAAGCTACCCCAATATAAGAAATAATCTTCGAAAAACATTGGTATAAGACGTGACATAGGATACGGGCCAATACGTGTATTTGTTTGGGCTTCTCGAATACGTGGAAATCCTTCTATGACCCATTGGAGACGGTTATCGGGGTTTACACTATACTGTAACGACAAGTTATAAAGAAAATATTATTTATAGTTTTCTAGCTGTTCTGTAAGCATATGTTTTATAAGAAATAGATTTTTTTTATAAGAAATAACTTGATTATCAATAAATCTTAGGCAGCTTAAGACCCCGGAGTCGTCCTTTCCGTCAAGGGAGTATTACGTTGCTCTCTCTATATTACTAATTGGATTTATGTATGTGTGTGTTTCGCTTAGGTAGGTAGGAGATATGACTGTTTTTATGAGGATCTCATTTTAGTTTTCCGAGCAGGCAAAACTAATAAGCATATCTGAGATAGGCTAGATATGGCATAACATAATACGAGTATGTAGTTCAATTTATGATTTAATATTGTGTTTATATTTATCTAAACATTAAATATTTTAGTATAGATTATTTTATGTAATTTTTTTGTATCGCGTAGGTAGAATATAACAAATCTAGTGTCATTTAACTTTCAATTTAATTATACAATAAACAACGATTGTAATATTACTAAAGATACACACACCTATTATTAAAGACAATTAGGTCATTAAAAAAAATTAGTTGCAGCTGGCGTCGGATATTTTTCATTTTCCTCAGTTATGCTTGTTTCATTTTAAAGATAAAATAAATTCTAAGATACAATTTGATGTAAGTACCCGTTCTAGACGATCCAGTTAAGTGGATATTATGTTTCTCAACTTTGAACTGCCTCGTTGGTGAAGTGGCTACCATGTACGGCTGCACACCCGGAGGTCCTGAGTTCGAGTCCCGGGTCGGGCCAAGTTTAGTTATTGGGTCTTTCTGTATAGTAAGCCTCATTACCAGCCTGGAGTTGGGAAGTTGGTGGTGTTTCACCCTCGTGCCTCGGAGAGCACGTAAAGCCGTCGGTCCTGCGCCTTAACTTTCACTGGTCGTGTCGAGCAGTCGTCCCATCGGAGTATGAGAGTGACAGGAATAGAGAGTGCACTTGTGTCTGCGCGTGCACTTGTGCACTGTAATATCTCCTGCGTAGTTGGCTAGTCTCAATGAGATTGGCCGCCGTGGCCGGAATCGGTCAGGACTCATCATCATCATCATCATCATATTTCTCAAGTACGTAGTAGCAGACAAAATAACAATAAAGATAAATACACACGGAAACTGTTGCTAGTTGCTAGTTACATAAACAATAGTAAAACTTCACAATATATAGATACATTATTCAGGGAGTAAATAAAATTTCATTACATTGTGACTGTGCTAAAATAAACCGCTTCTAAATATAGAACATGCGAAAAAAACATTAATCCATTATGTACTGTCTACTGTAGATAGTAAATACTAGATAATGGATATTGAATTTTGTGTCTAGATCCGCTATCGTGGGAGACCAAAAAGAACGTGAAAAAAAGACAAAGCAACAAACAAAATATAGATACTTTCTTAAAATATTAAAGTAACGATGAAAACTTTGTTATATAAGTATAATATATACGATGTGAAATGTTAATTAATTATTAAGTACACAAGTATATACTAGTATAACATGCCCTAATGAATATGTTTGAATAATAGTTAGCAGACAAAACAACTTTGTAATTAATGTACTTAATAATTTCTTAACTTTGTACCTATTTATATATTAGATAAATGCTTAAAGTATACTATTTTACACATAAAATCCATATCCACACTAATATTAGGTATAAATTTAAGTTTGTGTGGATAGATGGATGTTTGTTAAGTACTCTTTTACGCCAGAAAGGCTGAGTTGATAAAGGATGAAATTTGGCACAGAGATAATTTTTTTATACCGGAAAAATGTACCGTTGCCGTGGGATACATTTCTTTTGTCTAGGAAAGAACCCGACGCGAAGAGAAGGTGAGTCGCTAGTAATTTAATAAATCTTAAGGTAAGCAAGCGTATTTTATAGGTTCTACTTACTAATCATTTTTATGTAGCGGCGTCTGTATCCACGCCTAAACAACTCATATATTTTATCGTAGATTAGCTCAGGTTTATATGAAATTGATTATTAATAGGTAATTTAAATCAAGTGAAAATTAAGTGAAGCGCGTTCTATTCCCTGGTCTCGTAGGTAAGTACATCTGTCGTTTTCATTTGCAAAACATTTCCGACAAGATTACCACTTGCATTGCTGTAAACTTTGCAAGTTTTCGGAAGACACGTGAAGTCTGAAAGACTAAGGCCCGATCGCCCTTATTCAGTATATATTTACATTATAAATATATCCCGTATTGGAGGGAGGCCCGTGTCCAGCAGTGGGACTTTATAAAGGGCTGAATACACAAATATTGAATAAATGCATATTGTCAATAATATATGAGTTAAGACATTTAGTACCTAACATATGTATTTAGTACCTACTTATAATTATAGTACCTACCTATATTTAAAACTTACCTTAATAATAAAACATATAACTACAACTCCGTCTGGATGTCGCAATGCTTCCTCTTGTGTCATGTATTCAGATCTAAAGAAAGTAGCCTGAGAAAAAAGCATTTTAGATTCTAAGTTACAAATTATATGTACATAGTAAATACCCCCCCCAACGTGCGTTCACCTTGTCGTGGTGGGGGGGCTCAGTAGTGCCCGGCAATCCAACCGGGCGCGAAGCTAAGAAACGCACAGGGAGGTTGCCCACTTCGGTGGGCGGTGGGAGGTGGCCCTTTTCGGGGGGCGGTGTACCATGCGGGTTGCTCCTGGTACTTCTCTGATAGCAGAGTGGACTGTGGAGCAACCCCATGGTTGTGGTGGTCTGCTTCGGCAGACCTGCCGTCGGGGCGTCGTAGTTGAATGCGTAAGCGATCCTGCGACGCCCCATTAAGACGGGGGAAGGTTTTGTTGGGTTTTAGTGGGTAGTACTGGCTGTATTACGCCGGTGAGTCCCACACGTCGTGCGTAAATGCATTTCCCAACGTTAAAAAAAAATGTACATAGTAAATACACTGATAAATATAAATGTTTTTAATAACCAGTAACCACTATTCCTGCTCATCTTTAAAAAAATATTTTAATTTTGTTAGGATGTAGTTTTTCTATATATTGTATTATTAATACCTTAAGAGAAATTTTTGTACACCACTTTGTGCAAATGTGCTTACGGAGAAACATGAGGTTTATCAAATCAAAATTATTCCGCGAAAAAGTTCGAAAATATAGTTTTATTTAAAATATAAATTATTCGCGATTATAAATCTGAGAAAGTATTAGGTTTAGTATAGTTAAAGTTTATGGAGACCGACTGCAGAACGCTATTTATTGGCTTGCCTTTGCTCCCTTAATCTATGGCCTAAATCACTTCTAAAACCTGCAGTGTGATGTGAGTTTTAGATAGTCTTAGAAGTTAGAACTTTCATCAAATTTATACTAATATGAGATGAAGAGTTGTCTTCTTTGCGTGTTTTTTTGTATAATATATAATTAAGTATATTTGTAATTTCAACGTATTTTATTGAAATTAATGTATTAACAATAAAAAAAAATTAAAATAGGCATTTTGTGCTCTTCTTTAAGTTATGTAGTCTCTTATAGGTATTAATCGGAAGTCATAATTAATGTCATAAAGGTATGTTTTCACCGATGCCATTAGAATACCGTTGAGTTTAGCACCCGGGTATAAATCAAGAATATGCCTCACTTTTTATAACAAAAAACTTTTTAACAAAAAAATAAAAACCGACTTCAAACAAAAGCACTAAAAAGTAACAAATAACTGATTGGTAGTTTTCATTTACTATACATACCTAATCAAATATTTTCGAAGTCGGTGTGCTTAGCTTTGTATGGGCTGGCACCGATTTCGAAAATATTTGATTAGGTATGTATTTAATAGGTAGGCTTTAATAACTTAGCCAAAGCACACCGACTTCGAAAATATTTGATTAGGCATGTATAGTAAATGAAAACTACCAATCAGTTATTTGTTACTTTTTAGTGCTTTTGTTTGAAGTCGGTTTTTATTTTTTTGTTAAAAAGTTTTTATTTTTCCCTTTTTAGTGTAGACAGTAGTAGCAAAGTAAGGATTCTAACGTGTTAGGCTTGTCAAATCAAACAAAATAAGCCCAAACTCAAAGTATCTACTATTAGCCGTTGAAGAGTTCCACCTATCCACCTTCTGGCCTTGCCATCAGATCAGGTCAACAACACCGAACCACTGTACTATCAACGGAAATAGAAATACTTGCAAAAATTTTTTGAAATTTAAATGGGACCAATCTGGAAGTACACCCTTTCAAACAAAACAAAAATTGTCCAAATCGGTTAATAAATGACGGAGTTCTGATGTAACAAACATAAAAAAAAAAAACATACAGTTGAATTGAGAACCTCCTCCTTTTTGAAGTCGGTTGAAAATAAATTAAGAGTGACCTGCATTTCTCCTGGATATTTTCTTTTATCTACTGAATGGTCGCTGCCTTCCATCATATTCTTTCCCCAATGAAAATGTATCTGAGAGAATACGTGCTTCTCTAAAAAAGGTCCACCTTCCAAATACGGTCTTTCTGTCCTCCATTTTGCTCCTAGTAAAACTATGGATGAAATTAATCTCATATAAATCATTAAATAAATCTTCTTCAAAAAGTATGACAATATGACAAAAATAGTTATTTAATTGAATTTAACTTGAGGCAATAAGAAATTTTACCAGTTATAACATATTGTACTATATCAAATCCACGTAGATATAGACTTAGGACAATAAATAAAATTCAGATGCCTAGTAGTTCATCTTAAAATAACTTACAACAGCCCAAATAGCTAAACGGATTTGGATGTTAGTATACAAATAGATTACGATCTAATATATAAGCTTCTGTTTAGGTATTTAAGAATCCACCGAGTAAAAATTGCAAAATTAATTAAGCCGTGAGAAGCTATATCTTTACAAAAAGTAGTATATAAATATATTTTATTTTACTTAGATTAATTATACATCTGTCGTTAAAGTTTTCAAAATACAGTAAAAATTTCACTCAAAAGTCAATCCTTAGGAATTATTGACTTCCCAGGTATTTGAATAACTGACCAAACTTTAATTAGAATTTCAGATTATATCTAAATATCTCCAAAGGACCTAACAATTTGCCGAGTCACGTTATTTATGATTACGTATAAAATAGCTATTTCAGCGTGAATTCATGTAGTAAATTTTTGCAAAATTGACATTCAACGCCTCCGTGGTTAGTTTCCGGGAAATCAATTGTTAACTGACATGCCGGAATTTATGATAAAAGTAGACATTTGATTATTTCTTAAAAGTTATGCTAGTGAAATACGTGTTAAAAACGGGTTTGCCGTTTTTGTCTCGAGTTCATAGCAGACAGACAGAGAAGAACTTTTGCATCAGTTCTTGGGTTTTGGTATCATTGAAATTTAAAATAACCATATAACCATGTAGCTCAAGGTTGTGCTAGTTATTTTAAAACCACAAATTATGTTTATAAGTACAGTGTAATAAACTTTATATATTGTGTCATTAGCCTAGTTAATAGATGGGTTTCGGCTTACGAAAGATCGAGTAGAGTTCTAGTTTGGTAGATGTGTAAAGTTTGGTGTTCTAATTTATATCCTGGAGTGTAATCTTTAGCGAAAGCCGCCCTAGCCGCCGTGTTTGTAAAATACAATTTTATTAATTTTTCAAAAATACCATGCCACGCCATTTTCTAAAACTTTTCTTGAATTTTAAAAAGAATCATACCTAGCAAAATTCTACAATTTAATACAGTTTGTTTTGGAAGTATATTTATGATTGCATTAAATAAGTAATTCCTATGATATATTACTTTATTCTGATTCAAAGCTTCAATTTCTTTGATATGAAAATATTTTTACAAACTGAACTTTGTTGTAACTTAGCAGCGTCTAATAATATTCCTACATATAAAATGTTTTCTATGAATTCTGCGAAAACTCCAGCCGTATAATTTTAAACTAATTTTCTGCTGCTGGCTGTGGTCGCTCGTGCTCGTTCACCAACTTTATAAACATACCAAATTAGAACTCTTCTGCTTGGAGAAAAAGTTTCATGTTATGTCCATATTAATTTCACTAAATAGACTTTATTTAAAATCAAAAAAAAATGTGCAAATTAAACATTGTTCAAATATAATTTTAATAGGACACGTAATAGCTACTTTTTCTGGTTTCAGTTTCAGTTAAAATCGTAATTTGTGTTATCGATATGAAAAATTAGAAACTAACCTGTATATCCAGTATTAGTTAGTTTTACTTTATGTGGGTATACATCAAAATTGTACCAGATCAGATCTGGACAAGAATACTTTAAGGAACCTGTAATAGAAACATCTATAGGTGACGGTAGATCTCCTTCTAATTCACTCCAATAATGAATCCATTCGTTGGTGCCATACGGTGGAATATCTTTTTTCACTTCTTCTTCCACCTGCTCTTCTTCCTCTATAAATTGATACAAAATTTAAAGACGCATAAATGCACGTATATACTAGCGTAGAAACAATTATACCTGGAGGTGGTAGCGCTAGTTTTAACATAATCACAATAATTTCGCAGAAATTTTAACTAATTTACTTTATACTAGAATTTTACGCCATCTATAAAATATGTGAAGATTTTACTACCTATCTATATATTAGCATTATTTAATTTTGATGACAGCCGTAAAAGGTATTACTAATAAGACAGCTCATGAAAATATTTTCAATTATGACAAATATTAAGCCCACTGGTATGCTGTTAAAAGCATAAAATAAATCATTTAATTATGTATAGAATATTATCTATTTAACTTTCTTTTTAAAATTATTTTGTAGTTAATTAATAACCATTTAGTATCTAATTATTTTATATATTTATACATTAAATATAAAATTATCATAGACAATGACTTATATATGTATTATCTAGATTTAGATTTAATAAAATTATTAAAAATAAAATCATTTAAAAAGAATCTTGTCATCTCAGAATACAGAAAAATTCTGAGCTTGTCACATAAATTTCAATTATATATGTGCAAGTCATAATCAGAAGAATAGAGATTGAAATTGTGAACGCTGTTAGCAAAGAATTTACTAGTAACATGCAATATACATTTATTAATAAAAATGAGCACTGGTGAAAATCGAACGGTCATTTGTAAAGACAACATTGATCCAGATCCTGAACTGTTAATATGGGAAAAATGGATACAAATTAGAAACGACGAAACTCAAAATTTAGCTAGTAAAACAAAACGTACACAGGCTGAATTAGCAATGAATTTATTAGAAAATGTTAGGAAAGACAAAGAAATAAAAACAGTATTAGAGCAGGCAAAAATTGAAAATAAAGTTGGAGTAAGGAAAACGATATGGGAACAGCCTCCACGATTAAAACAAAATTGCTATTTAGATCCAGTATATGAATTACAAAGGACACGAGCAGAATTAGGAAGACCTCGTATACTAGAGCACATTGGGGTTCCTCGTTACATACAAGAAAATGAAAAAGGTATTAAAGGAGTTCAACGAAAACAATGTACAAAATTAGATTCTCATTATAACAATTACAAAGAAAAAAAGGAAAAAGAATTAGAAGCTAACATAAAGAAGATAGATCCATTTAGGTATGAATACTTATCTTTGTTTTTATGAATATAATAAATACTAATATCCTCCTGACTGATCTTGGCGACGGCGGCCAATCTCAGGGAGAGTAGCCATGTAAGCAAGGAATATTATATTGCAATTCACAAGTGTACATGCCAACACAACTCTATTCCTATTCTGGCTCTCCGAGGCACGGAGGCGACTCACCACCAACTTCCCAACTCCAGGCTGTTACTAAAACAATCTAAACAAAAAGACTCTATAACTAAACTTGGTCTTACCTAAGACTCGAACCTAGGACCTCTGAATCTGCCGTATATGCTAGTCACCAGATCATCGTGGTAGTTAAAACTAGTGATATATACTAAGCATAATAATAAATAGAGCCTCATTTAATTTCTTGCAGACCACAAATAGAGGAACTATGCGTAGTTGGTAACAAACCAAAACCTCCAAAGATGAAAACGCCAGCTTTGCCAACAATAAATATTATTTCTAACTACGATGTCATTAGAGACGCATTATATTCTGTTTATGCGATTAGAATAAATGATACTATATTTTTTAAAGATATAATTGGAGAGAACCTTACTCATTTGTCAAAAAAGCAAAATGAATATTGGCACGTAAAATGTGACTCTTGGTCGTATTACTTCAACTGTCCAGTAAATAGAGTTGGAAGAAGCAAATTACTTCTTGAAAACTTAGGCACAGTTAGTCTTCGTTATTGTTTGAAAAAAGTAAATCAATCTAACATTGAAGACAGCAAAGAAATAGTTTTTTTCTTTAATAAAAATGAAAATGTAATTTTTCCAGGACAGAAACAAGAACTTCTGTTTACTTTCTTATCTAGCGAGCCTGGATCTTACATAGAAAGTTGGGAAATAGCTTTCCTTAATGTTAATTTTTTTGATACTCAAGAAAAACGACTCATTGTAGATTTACATGCTGATTCAGTGGAGAACGTACACAAAATGAAAAAGAAAATTGAAAAACTAGAAAAAATGATTTATAATACGGTTCTCAAAAATATATGTAGAGATTTGCTAAGGGAAGTGTTTATTAAAGCTACTAGCGTAGAACCTCAAATATATCCCTACAAAAAAACGTTGTTAGAAGCTGAAATGTTTGTTATGAAAAATCCTGTTTGTTTTTATCATCAGTCTGAAGTAATTAAAATGAAAGAACTATTCACAGAAATGGCTCCAGAACATGTTTGGGACCTTTCTATCACTACCTGGAGATATGCTATGATGGATAAGGATTTTGATGATAGAATGAAATTTTACGGACTTCTCAAGGCGTCATATAGAGAATGTTTGAAACCATGTTTAGAAGATGATAATCTTTTAGCACACAAATATAGAGCTGTTAAACAACTTCTTGAGCAAATGGCCACCAAATTCGATGAAGAATTTGCACGAATACCAGAAATGATAGCAATTTATAATCCCAACCACATAGATATTTTAAAAGATGCTTCTCAGTACGAACAAGATTCAATCATGTCCACCCTGCCTCTTGTTCGAAATATATTTTACTTACGAGCTTATGAACATGTAGCATCTATGATAGAACAGTGTGCTGGTGTGCTGAGTAGTCTAGATTTAAATAGATGGATTCATTTTGACTTTTGTCGCACATAGTTTCTAGTATTAAATTTAATACATTGTAATTATGATTTTACATTTTTCTAAATAAATAAACACAAAGTACTTAGTTCTTCTTCATTCTTCATCTTAATCTATAATCTATATAAACTTAACTGATTATAAATAAATTAATACTATAAAAGATTGCATAATGGTATTTTGTAGTTAGAATCTACTTAGAAGTACGATAAAACTAATTATATCCATCTATATAATATATTATTATACTACGACCAAAGAAATTATTCCGAAAAGTTTTGGATGTGTAATATAATCAAAGTTTTTTTTTATTTAATTGTAAGGCAACTCAATAGGTGGGAATAGTCAAAACTCAGAAGATGCCACTTTATTGGCATGAAAACCCAAGGAACCGATGACTGTGTAAGATGTTTTGCGCTGCTTGGACATCCACAAAATTAATTTAACTTTACTATATTAATTCCTGCAAGTTACTTGATGAGATAAGATGGATTGATAGGTGCTAAATTATATTCCAATTGTTTTAGAAAGTTCAAGCGTCAATAGGAAGGAGTAAAACAAACGAACGAGCGGGGAAAGAGGCAACAAAATGTTAATAGAAAATATATCAAGAGTAGTGTAAAATATTAAAAAACGCGGCATTTATTGACCTGATTTTCAGCCGCTGCTTCTTTCAGATTAATCTCGTGTTAACTATTCTTTTTAATCTCAGATATTTACATCGTGGCTGTTCATGTGGATGAAGTCCCTTACATTAAAATATTAATTAAAACTCTTTCGTCCTATTGTAAGACAAAATGTCAATAAATGTCGATTTTCGATATTACTAAACGACATTTTGATAAAGTTTTATTTTACTTAAACTTAAATATGTAAATAAGTAATTCCTGTGTGTTTCATATAATCTTGTTAGAATTGTAGTGTATGTTGACAATAAAACTTTGTATATGATACAACAAAGCGTCGTATCTTACTTACTGATCGTATTAGTCGTAATAACGACTAATGCATATAATATATGTAAGTAATTGAATATTTTATCGATTTTATGGTTACCATGAATGTGTGTTTTTATGTAAGTATGATTTATAAAATATTTTTTATGAAGGTTATACAACATGGTAATTGATGTTTGCCTTCAAACTGGCCCAATGTAGATTTTATATGAATTTGTCATGACAAATAGGTATTCCTTAACCCCAAAATATTTGACCATGAAATTATTTTACTTACAAAGGTCTTTTTTTTTCATTTATATAAAATTTAAAAATAGATTTCAGTTACGATGAAACGACTACACGACCAAATACGTTGTTAGATGATGCGGATGACATACAGCGTCAACTGGACAATGAAGCTCGGGACAAGATGATATTTGGCAAGGTAACCTTTTGTAAATTCTATTCCAATACCAAATATTCAAAAGAGATTTTTCTATATTTACTTTTATAACTGTTACAATTTACAATACAACAACAAAAAATGATTTTAGTTCACAAAATATCACAAATAAGAATTTTGTACCATTATTATTTATATACTTAGAGTTAATAATAATATGTAGTATATAATACCGTGTCTTAGGCAAAACTAGATAAAATGCTTTGTATGTTAGAATTTGAGTAAATTTACAGGCGAAATAATTATTAATTGCAGCCCAAAACCGTATGGATTTTTCACTTACCCGTAGACTATCCTAAAGCTTCTACAAAAGCTTTATCAAGATACTCAAGGCACTTTGTAAGTATAGTACGGGTTCATTGTAACACATTTAATTAAAATATTTTAAAAAATAATATTATTCTTTATTAATTTTAGAATATTTTTCGACATGCGAAGTTGCAGAAGAGCGCTAAAAAGCCAAGTAATTAATATTTAAAATAATACTGTTTGAAACTAATATTGTTTTATCAAAATATTATGATGATTAGTAATTTTATTATGTATATTGTTTTAGCTCAACGAAAAAAAGATTGGAGCTATGAAGGTTTGTAATAAATAAAGCTTTTGTATAAAAAATATATTTTTCAGTATATTTTTAATTATGTATGTACTAATATATATAGTATACTAAAATTATATCATGTTAGAAAAATATTTCCATTTTTTAAATGTACTAGTATACGTATTTTAAATTATGTTTATAGAAATCAGTCCACTAGTTTCGCATGAAGCTCAAACAAATAAACAAGCAGATAAGCGAAACAAACAGCGACAAGAAATCACTACACGCACATAATATAGTGATGACTTCAATATACATTTGTGTCATACAAAATTGTGATAATTACAATAATTATAGTAACATCTGCATAATAATAATATAATTATAATAATTCCCAAAACCACTATAAATACAATTCAGAAAGCTATTATTCTCAATACGTGCCGAATTACATGTAAATCCTTACTTCTTCTACTTCTTTACTATACTTGGCCGAAGCTCGTATAATGGTCATAAAACCTCTTCTGTTAGAAAAAAGAATATGAAATATTCATATATATAAATAATAATAAATATTATAAATATGAAAGTTTGTGAGTATGTATGGATGTTTGTTACTCTTTCACTCCAGAACGGCTGAACGGATCTGGATGAAATTTGACACATAGATAGTTTATAGTCTGTAATAACACATAGGCTACTTTTTACAAAGGTCTTTTTTTTTCATTTATATAAAATTTAAAAATAGATTTCAGTCACGATGAAACGACTACACGACCAAATACGTTGTTAGATGATGCGGATGACATACAGCGTCAACTGGACAATGAAGCTCGGGACAAGATGATTTTTGGCAAGGTAACCTTTTGTGAATTCTATTCCAATACCAAATATTCAAAAGAGATTTTTCTATATTTACTTTTATAACTGTTACAATTTACAATACAACAACAAAAAATGATTTTAGTTCACAAAATATCACAAATAAGAATTTTGTACCATTATTATTTATATACTTAGAGTTAATAATAATATGTAGTATATAATACCGTGTCTTAGGCAAAACTAGATAAAATGCTTTGTATGTTAGAATTTGAGTAAATTTACAGGCGAAATAATTATTAATTGCAGCCCAAAACCGTATGGATTTTTCACTTACCCGTAGACTATCCTAAAGCTTCTACAAAAGCTTTATCAAGATACTCAAGGCACTTTGTAAGTATAGTACGGGTTCATTGTAACACATTTAATTAAAATATTTTAAAAAATAATATTATTCTTTATTAATTTTAGAATATTTTTCGACATGCGAAGTTGCAGAAGAGCGCTAAAAAGCCAAGTAATTAATATTTAAAATAATACTGTTTGAAACTAATATTGTTTTATCAAAATATTATGATGATTAGTAATTTTATTATGTATATTGTTTTAGCTCAACGAAAAAAAGATTGGAGCTATGAAGGTTTGTAATAAATAAAGCTTTTGTATAAAAAATATATTTTTCAGTATATTTTTAATTATGTATGTACTAATATATATAGTATACTAAAATTATATCATGTTAGAAAAATATTTCCATTTTTTAAATGTACTAGTATACGTATTTTAAATTATGTTTATAGAAATCAGTCCACTAGTTTCGCATGAAGCTCAAACAAATAAACAAGCAGATAAGCGAAACAAACAGCGACAAGAAATCACTACACGCACATAATATAGTGATGACTTCAATATACATTTGTGTCATACAAAATTGTGATAATTACAATAATTATAGTAACATCTGCATAATAATAATATAATTATAATAATTCCCAAAACCACTATAAATACAATTCAGAAAGCTATTATTCTCAATACGTGCCGAATTACACGTAAATCCTTACTTCTTCTACTTCTTTACTATACTTGGCCGAAGCCCGTATAATGGTCATAAAACCTCTTCTGTTAGAAAAAAGAATATGAAATATTCGTATATATAAATAATAATAAATATTATAAATATGAAAGTTTGTGAGTATGTATGGATGTTTGTTACTCTTTCACTCCAGAACGGCTGAACGGATCTGGATGAAATTTGACACATAGATAGTTTATAGTCTGTAATAACACATAGGCTACTTTTTTTCCCGGAAAAATATACAGTTCCCGAGTAATAGATTTGTTTTTGTTTCTCTAGAGGTGAACCCGAGCGGAACTATGGTGAGCCGATAGTAACATTATAATTTATCAAGTTAAAAGCTCTAGTATAGTAGAAATTGTTTGATTACACAGATCAGAATGAATGGCACAAACTGTATTCTAACTGCGGAGGACGGTCGCAATCGCCAATTGATCTACCGACTGCTGGATTGATTGCGGTCAAAGGATACCGGCAACTAACCTTTATTAACTATAATGTTGTACCACAAAGCCTTACACTGACTAATGATGGTAAAAGAGGTAAATACTATTATAGATTTCGGTCTGATTACCTTTGTTTATAGATACTATACTGTATTCGCCGAATAAACCAAGCACTGAGATTTTGCGCTTCCACATGATTAGTTGCAGATAAGACGCTTAGGCTGCGATTAAAATGCAAGTCATATTTAGTCCATCGTTGCATTCCGTACCGTACAGACGTCTCTCGTGTAGTTACCTGATTTATTATATTTATTAATTTTTCACTTTCCAACGTATCACTGTCATTGATAATATTTATATAAATATATAAAAAAAAATTACTTTAATGTTGATTTTATGGGAATGTTGATTTTATTTTATTACAAATTATTAATAATTCCTCAATAAGGCATTAGCAACATGAACGAGTCCTATGATTTCAAACCAATTGCTAGTGGGTGGAGCTAGATAGTTTTCTGTCCTTATCAATTTGTATGCAAATGTGGGACAGAGAAAGCGCTTTGCATGATTCACTCCGTGAATAGAGTATAGGGATTTATTTGCGTCCCTGGGTACAATAGTATATGTGTTACTCTTAAGTCATATCATAGTCGTAGTCTATGTGTATAGTTTTTTTTTTATTATTAGAAATGGGCTCACTCTTGACCTTCATCTTAGCTCGAAGGCACATATAAGGTCTACGATCTAGCGAGTTTGCCCAGGAGAAGCCTGTTAACAAATATTATTGAAATCTGTCCAGCTATTTCCGCGTGAATGAGTAACAAACATACATAAATACACATATATACAAGTTTTGGATATTATTTATTCTGTATTATATTATAGAGATATTTTGTAAGTTTAGATTTTTAAAGCTACTTTGACTAGTAGGCTGAAGCTACATTACCGCTATACGCTATAGTCTATTTTTTATTACGATATATTGTTTTTACTGTCAGAAATCATGTTAATTTAATTGAAGTTGGTGTATCGACGTACACTGTCTATACGGTGAAAAAGGTTTGGGGAAAAGGTACCTAGCCCATAGGGACGCACGCGAGCGACGCGAAATATACAAAAGTAGAAGGATATAACACTTTTTTAGATTCACGCGAATATTTGACTTTTTAAATAAAACTACATATGTTTTCGTTTTCCTTTGAGACATCGAGAAACCTAGTCTCTCCCGTGATCATCATTGCTGTAAAGTAGAGATGTACCGACTATGAGTTTTGCCGACTAGCCGACTAGTCGGTTGGAAAAAGGCCGACTAGTCGGCTTGTGCTGTATGCTTGCTTTCCATGATGTTTGTCGCGCTTCGCATCCCTTACACGCGTCGCGCGTCAACGTCGGGAACCAAAAACTAAAATAAATCCGCGAAAAAAAACGAAAAGACAGTTTTATTTAAAAAGTAAACCGATATGTTAGTTTTTTTGTTATTTATACAAATCTCTTTCCTAAGCTATTTGAATATATTACACAGTACATAATATATGGTAATTCTAGAGCTACGAGTATCTTTGGAATTGCGATGAATGCTATTATTAGATCAATTTAAGAAGGGTTTCTCTCCCGAAGTCATTGACATCGATAAAGAAAAAGAATAAAATATTCATAATGTAATTTCAATTTAATGTGGATAATCGATTGATAGATTATAAAAATCTGAATAGAAAGTAGCAAAATTTGAATTTTAGTTCCGTAAAAGAAGTGTCGATGAACTGAAATAATATTTTATGGTGAAAATGCTTAATTTGAATTAATAAATAAAAGTTTTAAATGGGTTTATGTACTGTATATTTGTTTTAAAGATTTATTTTCAAAGCCATTACTAGAGCTAAGTGACACACCAATTCGAGAACCGCAAAAAATCGATTACAAAATGCAATGACATTTTCAGATATTCAAGCTATTATACCAACTTAATCCCTACACGACAACGGACTCGCCGGCGTGTCAGTTAACAGTAGATTTCTTAGAATTTTAATTAATTTCTAATTAGAAATTTACCTGGAGGTGTTAATTGAGAATAATTCTTTTCAGTTATATTGTATGGCGAGTGGGAAAATTTCCGCCAACCGCTCATCTACGGGGGAGTGGCTCATAGCCGAAAATATTTATTCCACTCGATGACCCTACATTGGCCTTCAGAACATAGAATAGGGGGTTTTCAATATCCTCTAGAAAGCCAAGTAATTCATATATCCGCAGAATATAAGACTCTTCAAGATGCTATAAAAGCATCGCCACGGGATTCGCTAGCAACGCTTGGTATTGTTAACTTTTACAAGGTTAATGTTATATTTGTAAATTGATACCATTAAAATAGGTGTTATACATTTCTATTAATAATGTAGAAGAGCTTTTGTCGTCATGCAAAAGATCATTGAATAAAAAAGAAAAGTTATAGTCAGTCGTTAGTCACTTATCGACACTTTTTAACTATAATATATCCGCTTTACTTATGAGGTATGTGTATATATTATATAATACTAGCGGAACCCGCGGCTTCACTCGCTCTAAAACTACAAAAAAACTATAAAGGTAAATAAATGGTGATGCTTATGGGATGAATTTCGAAAAATGCTGAAACTCGTATTTATTTAATTGTATTTAAGAGCATTAATACCAAGTTTCAAGTAATTCTGATAATAAATATTTTTTTGGATTGTATTATAACGTGTTTTCCCGTGGGAATGAGATAATCTCCCGCGGTAAAAAGTAACCTATGTAACTCTTCAGCCCTCCAACTATCTCCACACAATCACGCCAGTCCGTCACTCTGTGTTTACGTGAAAGAAAGACAAACAAACAAACAAACAAACAAACAAACAAGCACACTTCTACATTTATAATATTAAGTATAGATTATAATATTAAGTCAGGATATTAATTATGTATATACCACTTTCATCGTGCGCCGCAAGTTTTGAAATATCAATGAGGGTGCTTTGTAATGCTACGAAAGTTCTATCTCATTTTGGTAATATTGTCCTATTATATTTCGAGAATTTCTCTCATTAAGTCAATAATGGCAGATATATTGAAACAAAGGAGGATATAATAATTAGAAATATTACCGCTTAATACTTCCTATTCTTCGTCTAAACCTATTCTATATATATTCCTTTATCTTGTTATATCATTGAGCTGACTTTCTGACAGCTACTATAGGGATGTTAGACATTAATATATCTTTAAAGATGAAACATTTACTTACAATAAAAGTAAAAATAGTAAAATTATTTCTCTATTTAATTATGTTGTACACAAAATAAACATATTATTATTTATTATATGTATAATAATTACACTACGTGATCGCGGGCAGCCACGGGCTGGTGCAACCCAGTCGCAACGTCGGGAATAAAGGTATATAGCCACTAACGAATTCACACGTTAAGTCTCAAGGGGAAATATTCTATAAGCCGCGAAAATTTAAAAAGTTATGAAATAAACATATATTTAATAACGAAATTACAGGTACGAGTATAATTATGATTTTCTAAATCATTTCTTATGTTATCCTAGAATATGTATTATTGAGTTTTAGATTTAAAATTTACCTACAGAAACATTCCCATGAATTTGTTTAAAAGAATATTTATAGCCTTATATACTATAAAGTACAGATACAACCCTAGTTTCTGATTTTGATAAGAGGTCGGATCTAATTCGTTACATTTTATTCTTTTACAGAAATCTTAAAAATTCATAGCAGATTTTAATTTTGTAAGATTTATATAGTTGTAATTTTGACGTTTGAAAATACATTATTTTTGATCTTTTAAAGTTAAACCTTACTTGTCATATTATTGTTTATTATGATTTTAATAATATTGTAAATAACTTAAGTAATAATCATATTATAAATGTTAAATTGTGTTTTTATATATATAAAAATATCAAAAACAAATCACGCATTGACTAGACAAAGGATTGTGGTTATTTGCATAGAAATAGTTTGGGAACGCGATATACAAGGAAATTGCAAAAAGTTCATCACAATATGTCCTCCACGTGAGATTTATTAGGGGACTTTACAAAACTGGGGCTGAACGTTCATATTTACTAATTCACTCAGCAGTTATCTCTTACAAAAACTGTAGCAAAAACTGAAGATCCATCTTCAAGGTTACGATTGCCTCTGATATTAGAAAAATGTGCGCTGTGGCCTTGTTTTAGCCTTATACAAACTTTTTTCGAATTAATAAAATAACTATCTTTAATTACAGTACCAAAATCATACACAAAGAGGCCTATTAGATCTACTGAGAATAGGACGCAATTTTCGATATTTGAATGCTACTCTCTCTCCGCTGCCATTATCATATTTTAACCCTCCAATGAAAAAGTACGCAGGTTATCAAGGGTCTCTAACTGTTCCACCATGTACTGAATCCGTTATGTGGCTTGTAAGAGCTAAAGCCTTACCAGTTACAAGGGTAAGTTAAAAGTTTGACTTGTAGGTCAGAAAATTGTTAATTTATTCATATAGTAACCCTAGATGCATTTCGCCTATCTTCTTTTTATATCACTAAAGCGATTATTTAATAAATAACTACATAGTACATACCATACGTAATAGAATATTTATGCATTTTTTTTATAAATTATACCCTATCTTTCCCAAATAATTCTCTATTGGTGAAGTAGGTACAGTACGGAGCAGTAGTTTCTGAGTTCAGCCTAAACTTGAATTTATAATAAAACTAGCAGAACCCGAGGCTTCGCTCACGCTAAAACTACAAAAAAGATAGGTTTCATAAAACTCTAGAAATATAGTGTTCATACAAACTTTCATCCCCTATTTTACTCTATTATAGGATAAATTTCGAAAAATGTTAAAACACCTATTTATTCAATTGTATTGAAAGACATTAATAGCCAAGTTTCAAGTAATTCTGATCATAAATATTTTTTCGGATTGTATTATAACGTCTTTTCCCGTGGGAATGAGATAGTCTCCTGCATTAAAAAGTAGCCTATGTCGATCTCCAGCCCTCCAACTATCTCCACACAAAAAATGAAGCCAATCCGTCACTCCGTTTCAACGTGAAAGAAGGACAAATAAACAAACAAACAAGCACACTTTCACATTTACAATATTAGTATGGATTGTGTTTTTGTTATAGACATACAACGCAAGTGAAACATCTAATACTAAACTGCTTTGTGCAACCCTCATACACTGTAGACTTTATATTTACGTACGTACGTAGTTTAGTTTAGTCGGTTTCATAATAACGAAAATGTAATCAACAGCAGATATTATAACGTTTCCGTTAGCTTATCTCTTCATGCTTATTACGAATCCGACGGACTATAGAGAGCCTTCGGTGGTTCCCAATCTTTTTATTGGAGTAAAATAGATTTTCTTATTTTGTGTAATGCAACATTCATATTATTGAAATATATTCTGTGATTGCCAATATTTAAAATGGACTTAATTTATGTCTATAGTCTATACATATAATAAAACTGTAACCAAGCCGAATCTGTATAATATATATTTTGTGGAAAATCTTATTGAAATAAACATTATTATCGATACAGAGGCCGAATCTATAGTTTTTAGAATTTTTGTCTGTCTGTTACCGCATCACAGAAAAACCACTGGAGGGATTTTAATGAAATTTCTTATGATAATAGCTGGTTATCCGGGTCAACATATAGGATACTTTTTACCGGTGGAAAATGTCTCATTTCTGAGAACAAATACAAAAGCTGCAATGTAAGAGTATACTAATACGTATAACCTAAGAATTTGGTTTTTGGTCATCTGAACGCGGGCGGAGCCGCGGGCAATGCTAGTTAAAGAACAAAATCACCTCTATGGGTGTACATGTAAAGTTTGACTGTAGATTTTTATATGATAGATTTACGTATTCAACATTTTAAAGCTAAAAAAGTGTATGTGTGTATCAAATATTTTTCTAACATATAATAATTCTAATATATAATATTACTCTATTCTAGAGTTTTTTGTAGAAAATAATTTGGGAAAAATAAGATTAATTAGGATACTTATTATGTTGTACATAAGTACTGTAACTTGACATTTAAAAGAGCAAGGGTTTCTCACCGGTTTCTCAGAAAAACTGCATTCTGAGCACGTTGTTGAATACAAACCAATTACACCGTCTATTGACGAGTCAAAAGTTATCGTAAAATCTTATTAAACATAACTCTTAAATTAAAACACTAAAAAAATCCTATAGTCTAAGATCTCGATCTATGTGGTGAGCCCCTCATTCTTTTTTCAGACGAAATATATTTTTTGAATTATAAAATATATTAACAAACACGACCCAAGGTTGTTACCAAAAATTTGCTATAAATTATAATATATATAATCATTAAATACCTGCAAATGCACGTTTTAATCATCAGTTTCAAACATTTCATTAAGATGAATTCTATTTGTAGGTACACAGTAGAATAAACATTACAATTTTTTGTTATAGGGATTAATTCATTTTCAATAACTTCTCACATTTTTATTTCAGGAAGCTGTCGAAGTTGCACGTAGTTTACTCGGAAATGAAGAGCTTAGAGGTTCTTTTGTCCGACAAGCGCAGCCCCTTAATGATAGAAAAGTGTATTTTTTCAATTAACTTACGAAAGTGTGAAATAATTTACACAATTATAAAGAAGTTGAAATAAATAGACTGTGGTTATTTTTAAGTACATATTATAAAAAATATATAAATTAATCACAAGAATGGAACTTATTTCACCCTGGTATTTATATATTTTATACATGGACGAATTAGAGACTGGACCTGACATAAAATACAAATGTATGAAAAGTAGTTCAACCAAGTGACGCATAACGGACACAAAGATTTTATTACATTATTATAAACACTGATACACAATACAATATTTCTAGTGTTTGAACGTAATCGATAAAATACATATATCGATGAACCAATGAATGACATTTTAGACAATGGTTAGCATAGTCATCGTATTTTACATCTTTTAATTTAAAATATCTGTATTTATTAAAATAATTGAATTAAAGAGGCAATAATAATGTGTCAAATAATAATTATTTTTAATTTGATTTATATAAATATGATGGCATTGATGGCAACATTCTGTTGGCCTATAATAATGTTAATAAACAAATGAATATCGAGTGTATATTCCATTAATATATAATAAATATTATTTTGTAAAGATTAAAAAAATATTAAGCTAATTTAATTAAATAAAGTGATTTTGTTGATTCTGTTATAGAACTATTTTAATTGGCAATTGATTATCTCGGGTAGTTATAAAAATGTGATACTGTCCTAATATTGCTCAGTTATTAATAAACATTTGTGAAATTAGGAAAAAGAAAAAGTGATTGCAAATTGTGAAAAAGTGAGTGTTGGATCGTGAAAGTAAAATAATTAGTGCAAGTGGTAAAGTGTTTTATTACAAATCGCCAACCAAGAAGTTTAGTGCTAAAACATTATTGTTTGATTTTGTGTAATTTATGTGTTGAAATAAAATGATCTTTATTATTATTACAATGGAATAATATTCCAAAGTATATAAATGTGGTATAAAATAAAATAAAAAATTAAGTTACACATACTAATTATAATTTTTGCATTTATATTTTTATTTGAATTAGAAAATATTATTATAAATTTATTGTCATCAGATTGTAGGATACTGTGATAAAAGTATTTTATGTTATTGTACTGTACAAATAACACAATTCTTTCAGTTATTTCGTCAAATATCGATATATTTTTCGACATTGTCAAGCACTAGTCGATGTCAAATGGACTCACTCGACAGTTTTGTCATTTGTTCTGAATGGTATAATCCAGCCCGTTTATGATGGTTGTCAGATGTCAACAATACATAGAAATATCGACTATATTTAACATAGTTGGATAATATGACATTTTATTTTATATTTAATTAAATTTTGTGATAAATAACGATAAATGTAATAAAATAATGTATTTACAAGTGAAAAGAAATAGTGCTGCTTCCGCCGTTATAGTTTTTACACCATTTAACAGAACATTTAGTCATTTTTGGGAGATGTTTTGTTGACAAGTAAGTGCTTGAGACTGACACAAAAAACAAACGACTTAGGCTAAAATTCCCTGGTTACTGACATGACCGTTAAAGGTACGTCCGCTTATATGTCTGGTCCAGTGGTTAATTCGTTCATGATTTTATAATATATATATATATATATATATATATATATATATATATATATATATATATATATACAGTCTTGGGATGAAAAGTATTTTATGTCTTTCCCAGGGTCTCAAACTATCTTCTTACCAAATTTCATCTAAATCGGTTCAGTTGATCCAGAGATTACCCCCTACAACATCACAAACTCACAAACTTCATAATATTAGTATAGATGAACAAATTCTTTTGTTATAATATAGAAATTTTATAAACATATGTTACAAACTGGTCTTTTGAGGATCAAGTCGTTCGATACCTACCGTCTTATCTACTACTAGCTCTTTGGACTGACACCTTAAAGACTTCCCTATAACAAACGCTAGCAACATTTTCAACTGTAGGAAATTGAAACCTTGTTAAACTTTGTAGTCTACATATTTTATTTTGTAAATCTTTGTATTTAGTCTACCTTGTACGTGTACTTAACACAAAAAAAGACATTTTTTGTTCTAAACATAGGTATTAAACGTAACTAAAGTATTTCACATCGCGGGAAAAAATTATGAACTTTACAAAAAATCATTAAAATCGTTCACTAAATGAGTACACCATCTCTTTGTTAAGAAAATGCACCAATGCTGAGGAAAACTGAAAAAAAGAATCTCAGTGGAATAGATATTTATAAGCCTCAATAACTTTTAAATATCTAATAAATTACGGATTTTCGTCACTCTGATATAAGTATTAGTAACTGAAATATTACAATATTAATCCACATTGTTCGTTTTACGACGAAACTTTGCTGACTTGTTATTAGCACGCCCGCAAAGATCTGCCATAGCAGCATTATCTACGAGTACTTTAATTTAGGTGGCACGTGAGGCGAATTGGATAATATGAGATTTTTGTCAGAAACGATACCAAGTAATGCGTAGGTAATGTTTAATGTTTTTTACAACTAGTCGAACCGGGACAGTTCGTTAGTTTATTATAAAATTATTATTTTATATTTATGCCAGATAAATTTTAAGGTTTTCTCTTTAATTATAAATATTAAATACTAACGACTTACTTACTCCGTCCCTAGGTTCCAATCTGTAGCCTATGTGCTACTCCAGATCACCTATTAAATTTCATCCAAATCCAATCTATCCAGCCGTTTTAGTGTTAAGATGCTAATAAACATACACACATACACACTTTCGGCGCCATATCTGTCTATCTACGAGTATGTCATTTTACAATTCGTTACATTGTTCCCATTTTTTAATTCGCTTTTTAGGCAGTCGGGTATTTTTATTTTTGTATTTCATTTTTTTATTTTTATACTTTTTTATTCTAGAAAAACGCGAGGGCTGCTCAAACTAGTTTACTACCTATCTCTTTAAATCTATCATCATTATTGTGTTCATTTTCTTTAAAAAAAAATCTAGCCTTCTAACCCAAAAAATCATTTTGTAACCTAAAAATTACTAATATGACGACTATTATAGTCAATACTAGTTAGAATCAAGACTGTCTTTGCCAACGAAATAAAGTTTATTTTATATGCTTTTTGTATTTTGCTTAAAAAAAGGCACCGACAATATTATAGTCTGTGGTATATTACAAACTCATTAAAAATAGTTTTTTTTTATATCACAAGACTGATTATCAATAGATTTTATTAATTCATAGGACAATTGCAGTTATGGAGGTCAGTCACTATCGATCAGAGATTTTGAATTATTAAAACATTGCATTGACATTTCAATTTGTTAAAGTTAAGCAAATTTAAACTTAATTACCACGCAATAAAGCTCTAAATATCACTTATTTGCCTAACTTACCGTGTTAGTCATATATAAAGGTAGTGTCACATTAAAAAAAAGTTAGTACAATTATTTATTTTATTTGGTTTATGTCTCAACTAGTGACCCTTATTTCAATATCACAGAAAGAAGGATATCATACTACAAGTTTTGACATTAATGAAACCAAATAGACAAATACGTACAAATATGTAAAGCTTTTTACGAGCTATTTTATTTTAGGAAAGGTTTTTTTCAAAAGAAATGGTTAGATCTTTGGATACTTTATCACAAGCTCTTGTCTTAATTTTAATTCTGATAAATAAATTTTCGTTGGGCGTCTACCTTAATGGAAACGCTTAGAAAGCTTTCTTAAAGAAACTTTAAATGGGTTCTCGTTGTTTTAAAGTTCAGTTCAATGATTAGAAAGAAAGAAAATATTAAAAATATAAAATAACAAAATTTTCAAAATTTCAATACTTTTGTAGTATTTTAGTTTAGTTTAGATAATGTTATATTATGTACCTCTAATATTGGTTACTATGTGAATATCACTGTGAGTGTAGTATAAAGATAAGCTAGTTATCTAAGCAAAGTCGTTTCAATAGTCCCGTGCCACTGAAAATGTTTGTTTATCTCAATTTTGTTTATTTCCAAATATGCCCTCTATCATTTATATGATAATAAATGATAGATGAGTGTGATAAATTAACTTAATAAATACCTTATGTTATCTAATAAAGCAAACAAGTAGGTATCTGTAAATAATAATTTGTAAGAGTCACCACTCTTATTAGGCACAAATTCATGTATTTTGGCTATTTTATTTACTTTTTGGCTACCACAAAAAAGAGGTAAAAAAAAGTTTTTTTTTGTACATATTATCTGTCTTGACCATCTGTACCAAATCTATGTATTTTTTTAATCAAATGTACTTTTTTATTAATGCCTCCACGACCGCGGACACGACGGCGTTACAGTTAACAATAGATTTCTTAGAAATTTTATTAATTTCTTAGAAATTTACCTGGAGGTATTAATGGACCATACAAATTTCAAGCAACGAGGGTGGTTAGGTTTACCTTTTCAGTTGAAAAGTAATAGTGATCGATATTGTCTAGGTAATTTATTGAATTGAAACAATTTTGTAAGATTGTTTCAATCATTCTGTAGAATGAATGAACTTTTTTTCCTAGGAGCCACTAAACAAACAAATTGAATTGAATTTATAAAATTTAAGATCTAATAAAGAATTATGTCTAGAAAACGTAAAATATTGGTATGATTTATTTTTCTTATACAAGTTGCTTGTGTAACTCAACTGTAATGCAGTTTTAAACGTGTTCTTTAACCGACTTCCAAAAAGGAGGAGGTTCTCAATTTGTCGGAATCTTTTTTTTTCTCTTTTTAATGTATGTTTACCGATTACTTGAAGACACCTGCACCGATTTAGATTTTTTTTTGTTTCGAAGGGTATACTTCCCAGGAGGTCCAATTTAAATTTTATCGAAATCGGTCAAACGGTTTTTAAAAAAAATCAACAATAAATTGTTTTTTATATTATATAAATTGCTTAGCAAATTAATAAATTATTATTATTAATAAATTGCTTAATCGAATATGTTATTAAAAAGCTTTCTAACAAATTACGTCTACATTAAAAATGGAAAATAAAAGCTTAAAAAATAAATTAAATAGTTATATTTTACATTTTAGTGCCTGAAAGTAGTTTTTTTAAGTTTTTATTTATGTTATTATTGTTGGTATAGGTGGTGACAAATTTGATATAAATATTGAAATAGTTATATTTCTTGAGGGTGCCAAAGCGTTATAATCAGTTAACGCTCTACTGTTTTACCAATGACAAATATGTAATCGATCAAGAAAGTTTTAAAACTTCATATTTTAGTTGTTATCAAAAATAGATAACATTAATTAATCATAACTTTTATATTACAAAAATGATGCCTATCTTAAACCTTTTAGCCCTATATCGTACGAATGCAATTTTATGTTTATTGAGGCAAGAGGTTCTTATTTTAAAATTTGATTTTAATATAAATATCAGTCAGTCAGAATAGAAAAAATTAAATTGGAAACTCAACAAAAAATATATACTTAGTTGTTTACATAATATGCGTATTAAAAGAGCAAAAAAGTGCCACCATCTACAAGTACTCAAAATAAGTATTAAAATGCTTTCAGCATCTAGCGAACCAACCAAACCAAAATTTAAATTTATTTTACATATTTTGATATCTCATAACGTGTATTAAATAATTTCGTTATCGACCAATTGTCAAATGATAATGATATTTTTTTATCTTATCTTTCATGCTTCTATTCAGAATTGAATTTTGGCCCCTAAGTCGTTAATACATTTACATAGAGTACACATACTATAGACATTAAGAACAAATATTTATTAATATGGCACTTAAATTAAGATCATTGAAAGTTTCCCCATCAAAAACTGCCGCATCAAACGGTAAGTGTATCCATTTTATTATATATTATGTAGTACTAAATTGTAGACGTATCTCTGTTCTTTCACCTTTAGCCATTCTGTAACAAACATAAATCGACCTATTATACTGTAGAAAGTAGAAAATCATAAATTTAAATAAAATTATTTTGTCGAATTCCTTAGCAGTGTTTTTTTATTTTTGTTTTATTTTTGATACTCTACGTTTCAACAGCAAATATACACACGGAAGAGATTCAAACGAAAAACCGAGAACCAAATATCAAAATAAAACCGGGAAAAAATCAAATATGTATATATAAATGTTTTATTTAACTCTAGAAAAACAAAAACAAATCTATCCCACGGAATCCGTTCATTCTTTCGGGATAAAAGTAGCATAATTTATCTGATGTATGAGCTATATTGTTAAGTTTTATTAAATCCATTCAGTAGTTTTTGCGTGAAAAAGTAACAAACATCCATACATATATACATCCAGACATCCATACGTCCTCACACACTTTCGCATTTATTAGTAGGATGTCAAATATTCGCATAAATCTAAGAAAGTATTAACTATAAGAAGTGTTTGAGCAGTGGTAACCCATTGGGCAGCACTCGCTCGGAAATCCGAGTGAAGCGCGTTCAAACCCCGGATCTCGCACCTCTTATATTCTCATGTGAAAATCGTTTCCAACTTGATTACCAATTTTAATCTTACGGTAAAAAATACTGCTTATTTGAAAAAGCCTAATGGGTTTTCGAATGACTTATGCCGTCTACCTTCCGGTACTTGGTCAATATAGTGGACTTTGGCTTCATCCGCCTCCTATTGAAAAACGAACCCTGCTCAGCTGTCGGTCAGTAAAAAGGGTTGAAAAAATTGATGTGAATAAAAATTACCATAAAGTTATTTTATACATCACTGATCTCATTATTTAAATATTTTTATTTACATATCTAATATATAAAATTTCCATGTCACAATGTTAGTTACCGTACTCCTCCGAAACGGCGTTACCGATTTTTACCAAATTTTATATGCGTATTCAGTAGGTTTGAGAATCGGCTACTATCTATTTTCCATACCCCTAAGTGATAAGGGTGGTCCACCCCAAAAAAAATGTTATGATTCGGCATTAAAAAATACATACAAACCTAAATTTTCACTAGGGACGAACCCGAGCGGAGCGAGGGTGAGTCGCTAGTATTTATATAATTATAGCGTGACTACCCTTGCTTCGCTCGGCTTTCATCCCTGAGTGATTCTTTAAATTGATATATTTTTTTTATTTATGAATCTATCTAATCTATTGCGTTAATAAAACGGCCCAATAATAGTTTTTCTCAAATATCTTCCATGTACAGACAGCGATCAGTTACACTTTTATTACATGTATAGATTCTTTACATACGCCAACGTGTATTTGATTTAGAAACTTAGTGTAGTGTATTAGATAAAAAAATATTATTTAACGTGGTAATATTCTAATTATCCTGAAGTATTCAATATTTTATTTATGATTTTCTAGCATTTTTGTTTTATTTAGCTGTGTTTATTCAAAATGCGAAACTTTCCATAGAGTTTTTGATAATATTTAATATGCTTTTATCGTTATTTATCTTTTCTTATTTAATTACTTAATTATATATACACTAGCGACTTACCCTCGCTTCGCTCGGATGCGTCTCTGGGTATTATTAAATAGACAAAAATAGTTATTGCGAGTGTATCTAAGGATATAGACATATGCTAATGCAGAATTTTCTGTAGACCTTTTTAAGACCTATAATTTTTTAGTACATCGTTTTTATGTATTTCTTAAGGTTATGCCAGCGATGGTCCAATTTTCTAAGGATTACTTGACAGGACACTATAGAATGAAATACGTTACCACCTGTCAAAGGTATCTCAGTAAATGGCCACAGTTTTTAACTCATTTTTATAATTTTTCCAATGTCTACTTAAAATACAAGTAACTTACAAAAAGTTAAAATAATTATATCTTGTTTTATGTTGAAATGCTTTTTTTGGGATTGCAAGACAAAATAATTTATCTACTTAATATATTTAAACGAGCAATTTTTGTATACATGTATAATATAATTATATAATTTGAATCTCGGAAACGGCTCCAACGATTGTCATGAAATTTAATATAAAGAGGGTTTCGGGGGCGATAAATCGATCTAGGTTAATTTTATGTCTGGGAAAACGCGTGTTTTTGATTTTTAATGCGGTTTTGTTTCGCATTATTCCACGCAAAATATGGTCGCTAATTCGCACGCTAGGACATAAGCATGGTGGTCAAGCGGCCAAGGCGCAAGTTTGTATACTACAGGTGTCTGGGTTCATATCCCGCTCGGATCGTTTTTTTTAAATGTTTTTTTGGCCAAAAACTCCGAGCAATGCTCGGTAGCCCAGCTACTCTCTCTTAATATTGCACTCATGCTTCAAAGATCCTCTAATTAAATCCAATACATTCCGGTTACCCTAGTATTTCTATCAAAAGATTTTCTATGATGAGTTTTTCGGTGAGCAAGCCGACCACTGTTATTTTTAACAAACAACTGATACTATTGACCTTGGAGTTACATTGAACAACTTAATATAAAGAATAATTTATCGAAACTAAATTACCTATACATAACAATTTTATCTGTATCGTGTTGACCAAGATATGCTTATTATATGATTACGAACTCGTTAGTTCTATTTAATTTGATTCTACGTACAAGTATGATCACTGATCTTGCTATACAGGATCAATAAAATATTATTATACATATTTGGTGTAACTATAGCAGCCTCTGATTCTAATCAATTTACATTAATTCGTATAGAGCTGAAATTGGAAATGAAATGAAATATTCCTTATTGCACACCATTATTTTACATTATATAGTTGAAACAGATTAAAGAGATATAGTAAAATAGGCGGCCTTATCGCTAGAGAGCGATCTATTCTAGGCAACCTTTGGGTAGAGAGAAAGAAGAGAGAAGGAAGGGGTGCAAACAATCTTAAAGAGAGATACAATTAATACATACATATACAAACAGATATATACATACATACCACATATATACATACATACATACATACACACATATAAACATTATACATATAAAATAAAATATGACCATTTATTTTATTAAACTATTTTGAATAAGTAGGACATTTTTATTGTTAGAGGAAAATTATTGACACCACAATCTAAGCCAAAGTGAATAATAAAAAATAAACACTTATCACATTGGATTATTAAGATTTTTGTTTTTTAAGATCATCAGTGTCATTGGTAGTCATCAGTCAGTGGTTTTTTCAGTAGTACCAGACATTATCCGTGTTTTAAAAACGATAAAATACTCTGAATCTGCGTCGGTATAAAATAAAATTTGTGCGAACTATCTACCTTCTAGTTATACTTCTGCCCTCACTCTAAGCAAGAAAGTGGTATAACTCGTAAATTATTTCTCATATTTCCTGAAATCCTCTTTTTTTCGGGCTAAAAAGTATCTCGCATCACATTTGTAAAAAATATCGATTAGGTTAAAAAAACTTATTTTCTAAGACAAGAGATTTGGCTATTTATTCTTTCCCCTAAAACCTTTATTGACTTATAATAATATTATTTTTAAATAATCGGTTACACTATTTTAAACTTCAGTCCTGCTTTTTTTATTATTTTTATCTGTAAACATCATTAAAAAATCGTAAATAAGAATTAAATAAAAAATAATTCTTCGTAACTTTATCAAATATACTTTATAATTATAATTACTCACAAATGTTTCGCATTGAAAGAATTCGATTGAATTACAGCTGAACAAATATCAAAGTTAAGAGCTTCGCAGTCCCCAATTGCAATCTCCGTACCTCGTTGTCCAACTTGGTCGTCCCTTGAGCCGCTTCGCTTCAAACGCTACTGGGATAATGAAGCAGATGGAATTCTCCTCAATACGGGGCAGACAGGTATGTAATAACATATGAAATATGTATGTTTACCTCATAATGTACACGTGTATCTCACAATTTATTTTGTAAAAAGAATAAATAAATATAGTATATAGATAGATAGCTTAAATAAAAAATTTTTGCAGATTTTTAAAGTAAAGCCAAGTCAACGATTTGCATTTAGATGAAACTGCATAATACCTCAAAGCCTAATCTTAGCATAATGACGGTTTCCGATCTTTTATCAACCGACTTCAAAAAGGAGGAGGTACTCAATTCGACTGTATTTTTTTTTTGTCTTTTTTTTTTTTTTTTTTTTATGTTTGTTACCTCAGAACTCCGTCATTTATTGACCGATTTGGACAATTTTTATGTTGTTTGAAAGTGTATACTTCCAGATTGGTCCCATTTAAATTTCAAAAAAAAAATACCACCCCTAAGGGTGGAAAAATAGCTAATGATGAATTTAACCTACTTCTTATTGTCATATTGACTTGAAACTTTGCAAGTGTTTCTATTTCCATTGATAGTACAGTGGTTCGGTATTGTTGACCTGATCTGATGGTAAGGCCAGAAGGTGGATAGGTGGAACTCTTCAACGGCTAATAGTAGATACTTTGAGTTTGGGCTTATTTTGTTTGATTTGACAAGCCTAACACGTTAGAATTCTTACTTTGCTACTACTGTCTACACTAAAAAGGGAAAAATAAAAACTTTTTAACAAAAAAATAAAAACCGACTTCAAACAAAAGCACTAAAAAGTAAAAAATAACTGATTGGTAGTTTTCATTTACTATACGTACCTAATCAAATATTTTCGAAGTCGATGTGCTTTGGCTAAGTAATTAAAGCCTACCTATTAAATACATACCTAATCGAATATTTTCGAAATCGTTGCCAGCCCATACAAAGCAAAGCACACCGACTTCGAAAATATTTGATTAGGTACGTATAGTAAATGAAAACTACCAATCAGTTATTTTTTACTTTTTAGTGCTTTTGTTTGAAGTCGGTTTTTATTTTTTTGTTAAAAAGTTTTTATATTTTTATACTAGAGTTGGAGGTTTGACATGAGTTCCATACAAATTATATCTAAATCAATAAGGAAAACTAAAAATATCTCTATACGTCGTTGGGATTCACCGTAAGCCATCTTGGTAGTTATCAACTCATAGCAATTGCTGTCAAGGTAGCATAAACGAAAAAAATTGGTTGAATTTAAATATATATTTTTCAATTTTGAATGTAGGGAAGGAGATAAATGTATTGTATTGTACATGTGTATATCAATAGATAAGTCATATCGCACGTGCTCTTTATATCGGAGCTAGATTCAAATTTGACATTTTTATCAGTTGACCAGACGTCATAAAAGTATTAACTGGGATTAGTTATCTAATTTGTTTGTTGTTATTTATCAAATTTATGTCGGAGGCGGAATTTACCATTTAACAAGACTGTGAAATTTTGTTAGCTAACTACTGCCTGCAGTTTTACTCGCTTGTGCCACAACCATTAAACATTGCCAATGTCTATACTTGTAAATAAATTCTGAGTCGAATCTGTACATTAAATATTTTTTGGAAAATCTCATTAAAATAGTCTTTATTATCGGTACATCATCGGTATATCAGGCTGAATCTATAGTTTTTAGAATTTCTGTCTTTTTGTCTGTCTTAGAACGCATCACGAGAAAAGCGCTGGACAGATTTTGGTGAAATTTTGTATGATAATAGCTGGTTATCCGGATCAATATCAGGATACTTTTTACTGCCGATTATGTAAATCGGGAAGCTCAACTCTATTTTTGGTCATACTTAATTTTCATTAAACGTCTTAGTAAGGCATATTTTAAGACCGGACCTTTACAATAAAGACTTTACTTCATAAAAATCAGCTTGGATTAGTGATTATTAAAATATATTTATTCTGCAATTCACAGCATACTTCACAATTGATTCGCAAACACGTCCCTGCTTAAGTGGAGGTCCACTCATCGGAGAGTATATATTTGAGCAGATGCACTTCCACTGGTCGGTCGATGATTTCACTGGCTGTGAACATGTGCTCGACGGTCACGGGTAAGTGATCGTATGGTGTTATCTATTTTATAAGCACTAACGTAAAAATCAGTTAATCAAGCTCAAAAATCAAGTCAAGAAATATATCATAATTTCCAGCTGAAATCATTGTTTTCTAAAAAGACAGAGTAGTTCTGATCTTAATATTAGTAATACATAGGTGTCAACTCCCAGCGAGGCACCGAAAACAGCATCAAAAATATATTCCAAACTGGAGTTACCTATTTTAAATAAAACTATCTTGTCGGATTTTTTCACGGATTTATTTTGAAACCAAAAGTCAAAATAAATGCGCGAAAAAATCCGAAAAGATAGTTTTATTTAAAATATTAAATATTCGCGTAAATCTAAGAAAATATTGTGGAAATATCTAGGTATGTAAAGAATTATGATCTCTCAAAGATATTTTATAAAAGCCGATTAAACTTTTAGAAGCCCTCAAGAAATTCGAACATTTTGTTTAAAAGCTAAACGAACAACAACAATTTATAACAAAAATAAGTTACTAATTTTATCTATTTATCATATCACAGTCTTGTATTTAAATTATAGAAGCATCAAAACTCTGTAAAATTATTGTTATCAGCTAAAATCAGAATGGCTAAATATTGCTATATAAATGTTATCATTAAATCCACCTAACGTTTATTTGTTTACTGACAACATGTCGTATAGTAATAATCATGCTACTACGCAAATCTAAATAGCCGTAGATATTTAATTTTTAGCAATAAATGTTCAAAATGCTTAGTAATATAATTATTTAGGTAACATAGTATATGTCAGTAAAAGAATTATAAATATTAAAACTTCAAATTATAAATAATATTATGCATCGAAGTTAATTCTAATTTGATTTGACAAAAAACTTTTGTTTTCAACCTTATCTATATAATAGTTAAAGACAAAACAGTTCAGTACCTTTTTAACCGACTTACAAAAAGGAGGAAGTTCTCAATTCATCGAAATCTTTTTTTTTATGTATGCTCAACGATTACTTGAAGGCGCCTAAACCGATGTGGATTTTTTTTATTTTAATCAATCCATCAATCAAGACTTCAAAAATATCTGATTAGGTATCTATTCTAAATGAAAACCCCCGTTTAGTTATTTTTTACATTTTAGTGCCTGGAAGTCGTTTTTTTTAAAGTTTTCAATCCTCTGTTTGTAAACCGACTATTTTGTTTAGTAGCTATTAAGCTTTAGTGTTATCAATAAAAAAAACTAACAGTTAGTTTTTTTATATTGATAGATAAATTCCGTTCATCTACGGTTTCCTCTCTATAATGACATGAGTGAGTACTTGTTTACATTATTATTCTATTATCATTACAGATACGCTGCAGAATGTCATCTAGTCCACTACAATAGTAAATATCAGTCCTTAGAAGCAGCGGTGGCCCATGCTGACGGATTAGCTGTAGTCGGATACTTACTAGAAGCGGTAGATGCGCCAAACCCAAGCTTTGATAAATTTGTTGAGGGATTGGAGCAAATAAGAAAACCGGAACACAGTGTCGTGCTGTCGGCAGGTATGTTAATATTTTATCAAATTGGACAACTACTGTAAATTAGTCATTCATACTGTAAATTAGTCAGTCAAGATATATGGACCAGGAGTAACACTTAGGTTATTTTTTGACGAACTGCCTCGGTGTTGTAGTGGCTAGGATGTACGGCTGCACACTCGGAGGTCCTGGGTTCGAGTCCCAGGTCGGGCCAAGTTTAGTTATTGAGTCTTTCTGTATAGTAAGTCTCAGTAACAGCCCGGAGTTGGGAAGTTGGCGGTGTTTCACCCCCGTGTCTCGAAGAGCACGTAAAGCCGTTGGTCCTGCGCCTTAACTCTCACTGGTCGTGTTGAGCAGAAAATGCTGGCATTACTTTTTAAGTAACTAAGGAAGTTAAAAATATTAAGTAACCAACCAATAACAAATTTTATTATAATAATATTAATAGTTTATTTTCAAAAACACATACATATTGCAGTTGAAAAATATTTATTATAAGCCGATTGAAATTTAAGGTTATTAAATAAACCACATAATAAAAAGTTCAGTGAGATTGAACACGTGATGCGCGTACAAATAATAATAATAATTAAAAATTAGTTTTATTGTTTTTGTTTATAACGCCGCACGTCAACTATTTCTAATTTTCATAAAAATTTTCAAAGTTCAAACTCTTTCTGTATTTTAAGCCAACTAGCTATCGCCAACAGTCAATGGTAAAACAGTATATGGTAAAATTAAATAATATTAGAATGATTTTAAACCTTTATGGTTTTAATAAATTAATTTTCGTATAAAGTTTTTCGTATTGACAAAAAACCGGCCAAGTGCGAGTCGGACTCACGCACGAAGGGTACCATTATCTATAAAAACGGCAAAAGAGTCATATCTGTTGTGGGGGAGCCCCACTTAAATATTTGTTTTATTTTAATTTAATTATTTATTTTTAAAGTGAATCTATTTATAACTAAATATATTCTGTGAATATTTCAAGGTTCCACCTGTTGCCGTTATCGAGCAAAAATGAGCAAAAAATCACGTTCGTTGTATGGGAGCCCCCTTAAATATTTATTTCATTCTGTTTTTTAGTATTTTTTGTTATAGCGGCAACAGAAATGCATCATCTGTGAAAATTTTTACTGTCTATCACGGTTCATGAGATACAGCCTCGTGGCAGACGGACAGACGGACATACAGCGGAGTCTTAGTAATAGGGTCCCGTTTTACCCTATGGGTACGGAACCCTAAAAACGTAGATGATGTGTTCACATTAATGTCTTTTAATTCGGTAAACCGTATACAGATTGTAATATGTGTATTGTTTTGCGGTTTATCAAATCGGTTGTCATATTATAGTAGGGAAGCTCAAGAGGAGATTTTGGGATTTACTCAAGCGCGGCAGATGAACATAAAACGGCAGTAAACCGCAACGTGAAATCAATTTTATTTTCCCAAATAAAAAAAGTCTGAGTAAATTTTTATTCCTTATTCCGCCGGATAGTTTTCTGGGATAAAAGAAAGCAGTCCATTTCCAATCACAAAAAGCTTATGTAACTTACACTGTTTATCTACTATTGTAAGTGTTGTTACAATATGTCCAACTGTTTCTGAACTAACCTGGAATAAATAGAGAGAGAATTCTTTTTGTTTTCGAGAGAGAATTCTTTTTGTTTTCTTTGTTTTAGTTTTGGTTTCCTATAAAAAAATATAAGCTCAGTTCAGAGGTATCTATTTTCAAGCCACAGGCAACAATATTATTTATAGATTAAGTAATTTGAAACGGGGCCTTTGTGGTATACTTATTACACGAGTCTTACGGGTATTATATATAAGACAATGTTAAGAATTAATGCTTAAGCTTAGAGCTTTCGTTAATTAACACAAATTTGTGATATTTTACATCAATTATATAGGCAGGTATAATATGTATAATATATTAAGGCTCACTCACATATTAAGCTGACTTGATTAAACCTTAATATTCGTATTCCACATAAATTATAACGGAATCATATTTTTAATTTTAGAGTGTTTAATAAATGAACGTGGATTTTTTTGTGCAATAGAAACATGTCAAGAATTTCTAATTTTATTTCTGTGTTTAAATGCTAATAGTTAAAAATGTCAAGTCTTTAAAAATTGAACCCAAAAAGATAGATAAAAATAAGTACGAAAAATTAAAACTTCCATCTTAAGCACTAGTAGTATAAACAGTTTTTTTACAAAACTAAAATTAATAAATAAATATTTTTAAAATGTAACGACGTTATTTGAATTAAGTATTATTAACTTTAAATGATATTATGATTTTATATATATTTTAGAATCCTTATCGTGGATGAACGCCGAAGACGTAACTTCAGAGAGCTACGTCACGTACAAAGGATCTCTCACCACCCCACCTTACACCGAGTGCGTAACCTGGATTATATATGAAAAGCCAGTACAAATCGGAACGGAACAAGTAAGATTACAACTTAGCTGTACTTAGAATATGCTTTTTTTGTGTATGTGTATGTTTTTTACTCCGTAACGTTAAAACGGCTCGACGGATATAGATGATATTTAGTACACAGATAGACCTTAAGTAAATAAAAGTCACCGTAATGGCAAAGACAAAGAAACCAAAATAAGTCACCAGTTTGTTAAATTTTAAATTGAAGAATATAAAAACTTAAAAAATAAATAAAAATTAAAACCGACTTCCAGGTACTAAAAAAAAATAACTAAACGGGGGTTTTCATTTAGAATGGATACCTAATCAGATATTTTAAATATAATAGATACCCTATGAAACAAAAAAAAACCAAATCGGTTCAGGTGTCTTCGAGTAATGAACATACATAAAAAAAAGATTCCGACGAATTGAGAACCTCCTCCTTTTTGGAAGTCGGCTAATGATTATTATTAAAAGGTAAATAAATAATATTAAAAACATGGTTGAGCAACAATTCGGGTTAACTTTTACCAATTCATTTGTTTAATTAAAACACAGTGTAGGTACATTTGATACATTATATTATGTATTTTGTTAATCATGACATTGTAGTACTGTATAATTACTTATCGAATAAACTATCCGATAATGGGATTGATTGCTCTATTTATTTTATTAGTGCTTACGTAATAATTATAATGATTACCATAATTATTGATGCGGTACCACGTTTATTACAGGTGGGCATGGTAATATTAAGACGTGTAATATACCTGAAATTAGACGCCACACCAATTGGCTTACTAATTAGGCATATAATTAACAAAGGAATTCTAAATACTATTAATCAAATAACAATATTTTAATCAAATATTGCATTACATAAGAATATTGCATCGTATATGAAATTTATTACGTTATTAATTTATTTATTTTATTTATTTGTCGTATATACATAGTATACAATTATTTTACAAAATATCAAATTTCAGTAAGCGAGTGGAAAATTTTTATGTAAATTCATAAAAGTTACACAAATTCAATCTCTATCACATCTAAAATAACTCCCATAAAATAGAGCAATATTATTTTATTATATAATGTCTTAGCGGATATAACATAAACATTAATGTATACATATTACTAATTAATGTATTAACTTCCTTATCAAAGGGATAGTGAAAGTAAATTGATTATACATTCAATTTAAAAAAAAGTGTGTGTGTACTTATGTACGCATGTAAGAAGTTATATTTCTTTGGTGTAACAGAACAACAATAGTAAAAAATTTTACTCCCGTATGTCACGACTCTCTGTTTGTAAAAGGAATGTTTATTTTATTAATAAAGAAATATCGCAATTAAATAAAAACAAATCAAAAATTAAATAAATCATATTAGGCATATTATAATCATATATTTATAGAATATCATTTAGGGAAAGAATAAAATATTATTAGGTATATAATTTGTCAAACAATAACAATGGTTACCATGGCAACAAACAGTTTATCAGCTAACTTCATCATATTGGTTTTTGTCGGTGTACGCGCGATTACCGCCCACCGAAGTGGGCCTCCCAGTGCGTTTCTTGGGCGGGACCCAGCTGGGGTACCGGACCCTAATAAGCCCTCGAACCCCCCAAACGACAAGGGACGAACTTAAGTTAAGTAAGGGTAAGAAGATGATGATAAAGTGATATTTTCTATTGTTGGTTTGATTGGTATATTCCTATGATTGGCATTCATATATATACCATCTTATCTCCTAATTATGTTGAAAAGGCTGAATATTTAATATTTATTGTGTAATATTTAATCTAATATTTGCTTTGTAATTAAATTTCATACAAGCGTTCCATTTGTGGATTTCTATAGTCAATCCAGTTAAGCTTTCAATATCTGAAACTACACACTTAAGTTTGTCACTCGACGAAGTTTGTCTACTATTATCTTACATCCTTTGTCTGAAACTGATTAGAAATCTAAATGATAATTAATTATTTTATGTCATTAATAATTTCTTTATTTAATGATATTTAATCCTACGACTTTTTAAATAAAGCACTGAATAGATTGAAAAATAAACAAGTATAAAGTATTGATGGTGATTAAACTTTTCTTATGGCCATTTTCATACTATTAACAGAGTTGCTCAATATTTTATTTAAGTTTATTAATTTACTTTATTGTCTATGGAAACTTGAATCTATACTTTAACAAATATACTAGTATAATATCTTATAATATTTTTTTTTGCCTAAATGAATGATTGAAAATCTGCTCACCAATCTGCTCCATGAAAAAGAAAATTTCAAATGTAAGCTCTAAAGGAGAAGCTTGTGGTACCTATTTATTAAAATATACTTCGTAAATCGTGATGCTTACGTTAAAAGACACAGATTGATCAAAAGTTTAATGTGTGATATATAAACTTTAAATAGTTTTTTCCATTTTGGTTGAGGGTTAAAAAACGAAAAAATATAAAGTAAAAATACAAGCCGGCTTCAGATAATACTAAACAATTTAACAAAATATATACTGAAGAGCTTCCAATTTCCTGTCACATGTGTTTTCAGTTTCAATGGTTATTTGTCAAACTGAAAGCACTCTAATTTAATAAATTTCGTCCCGATCCTAATGTAAGCTAGTAATCTTTTAAAGTTTTAATTTATTTAGGCTTAAATTGTAAGCTTGTATTTTTTATCATTTATATCACGTTAAAAAACATAATACTAGTATGTGATATAATTTAGTTAAAATATGTAATTTCAATATTCAATTATCCTCAGGACTAAATATTTTTCTTTTCGAAATAGTGTTACCGTCAATACGTTCAGTAATAAATGTTAATTATTTAATGCTGATTGTTTTTCGAATCTAATGAAATTTAACATCTCCAGGTAAGTTTCTAAGTAATTAATTAAATTTCTAAGAAATCTATTGTTAACTGTAACGCCGCTGTGTCCGCGATCGTGGAGGGATTAAGAGAAATGTCATGTAAATAAAATGATTAACATATTCAAATAAGGAATTGTTCGGAAAGAGAACTTACTTTAACGAAAGTTTCTAAGCTATGTTGCTTTATCCTCTGTGACTTTTAGCAAAAAATAAGTTTATTATAAAAAACTACTTACCTCCGTACTGGATGAAAGTTTTTGTGATAAAATAATGCAAAATTAAATAAATTTCTAGCTTTCTTAATGAAATATCGATCGAAAAAGATATCGAATGGTAAAACTCTATCAAATTATTCTTTGATACGCGATAGAATAATTTAATATCATTGCGCTTGCAATTTAGTTTTATATAAGCATTGAAAGACTCAAGGAGACACCAGATAATAGTAAAAAAAACATAAAATTTGTTACATTGTTTTAATAAATTTGTTATAATATTAATTTACTAAAGTAAAGACATGTTGACCATATCTCATTGCTTTATTATATTATTTATTTATATCTTCTGATTGTACGTCTATTAATTTAATTAAATAAGTTTTTAGATTTAACTAAATATTTGTTCTTTATCAATTTGATTATAAATCCATACTTACTTACTAATATTATAAATGTGAAAGTGTGTTTGTTTGTTTGTTTGCTTGTTTGTCCTTCTTTTACGTTGAACAGCATGATTTTTGTGAGGAGATAGTTGAAGGTTGTAGAGTGATATTCTCCGCGACTTTAGACTTTTTACCGCGGGAGATTATCTCATTCAAACGGGAAAACACGTTACAACAAAATAAAAACATTACAACCCAAAAAATATTTATGATCATAATTACATGAAACTTCATTTTAATGCTCTTCAATACAATTAAATAAATACGAGTTTAAGCACTTTTCGAAATTCATCACATAAGGAGGTAAAATAGGGGATGAAAGTTTGCATGAAACCTCCATTTTTAGATTTTTTTTTATAGTTTTAGCACGAGCGAAGCCATGGATTTTGCTAGTAAAACATAAGAATAATACGTCAAACAATAAACGAGTTCTTAAGAAATCTATTATTTACAGTTGGGGCTTTTAAGACAATTGGAAGGAGCGGATAGTGTACCGATCGAAAGAAACGTGAGGCCCACGCAGCGTCATCCACCAGGACATTCAGTTATATACGTGAAGCAGGTCAAAGCGAAGCTGTGACAAATTTGCGATGAAAATAAATATTACTATACAAAATGTAGTTTAATTTTCTTTAACGTATTTCAAAGGTTATATATTAGTAGTTAGAGTAGTAAATACTGTACATTAAGGTTATAACAACTTTATTATGATGGAAAAGCGCTTTTTTATAGGAATACTTGTAGTTTGACGACACGTTTGGCTCAGTTTGTAGTGACCCTACTTTCTGTGCCAGCGGTCGCGGGTTCGAGTCCCGCTGGGGGCATTCATTTGTGTGATGAGCATGAATGTTTGTACTTCAGTCATGGGTGTTTATATTTATAATATGTATGTATTTAAAGCTATATATGTGTAGTGTATCTATCTATAGTATCTGGTATCCATAACACAAGCCTCGTAGCTTACCATGGAACTAGATGGTGTTGTGTGTTAATGTCCCAACATATTTATTATTTATTTATTCTAGGTAGAGAAATATTGTGTCATCTCTAAGTCCTTTACTTAGTTTTAGTGGACTCATAGTACGATATGAATTAGTTCGCTCGATCCTTTTGGAGTTCTTATCGACGTAATATTATATACATATGTCTAATTCTAAGCCATCTCTGCTACGCAGGCAATCTCATCAAGTCTACCATTCAAAAATACTTTTAAATAAGCAAATAAAAATAAAACTCGCTTAAATGTCGTGAAAAATTTTGTTTGCTGTTTAGTTCCATGTATCTTTTAAGTTGATTATTATATTCTTTAGGCTACTTTTCACTCTAGATTAGAACTCGTGGATGGTATTTTAGGATCATAAATATAATCTTAGTTTGTATACCCATAGAAAACTTGATGCTTCTTATATTTGGTAATTTCTTACATAGTTTCTCCGAAACTAGAAATACCAGTTACTGGGTATTTCTTGTGTAACAAGGGGTATTTATGGTGTACAAGTGTGTAACTTAATTTTCTTAATATGTTCAATTTATTTAATCTGCAAAGCAGTGCATCGAAAGGTTGTTATACTTCTTTAGGTTATATTGATATACCTCACTTTAAGTTTGAACTGAAGTTCACTTTACAACAGTATTTAACTAGTTACACTGTTGAACTGCTTCAAAATTGCTTTCCTAGGACGCTTTAAATATTTGTGTTGCCCAAAAGTTTTACTTATCCACAATCTAGGTAGAATTATTTGTGCCATTCAAATAAAAATGCATATGGAATCAATAACTATTTTTTTTTATTATTTTTTTACTATCCATACAAATTAAAACGAGGAAGAGAGTCTTTTGGTGACTTAAATCCATACTAATATTATAAATGTGAAAGTTTTTGTTTCTTTGTTTGTTTGCCTTTCTTTCACGTCGAAATGGAATGACGGATTGGCGTTATTTTTTGTGTGTAGATAGTTGGAGGACTGGAGAGTGACATAGGCTACTTTTTACCGCGGGAAATTATATAATTCCCATGGGAAAAATACAATCCAAAAAATATATATGATCAGAATTACTTGAAACTCGGTATTAATTCTCTTTAATAAAATTAAATAAACACGTATTTTAACACTTTTCGAAATTCATCCCATAAAGAGGTAAAATATGGGATGAAAGTTTGTATGAAACTACCTTTTTAGAGATTTTTTCGTAGTTTTAGCGCGAGCGAAGCCGCGTGTTCTGCTAGTTGATTATAATTATTATGACAAAACTGTAACATACAATACTAGATATTAATAAATAAATGACAGTAACATACCATACTAGATATTAATAACAGTACTGATTACTTTATCGTCAATGAATACATTTGCACTTATAGTGACTATATTTGGCGAAGTTACATCTGCAAGTTATCGCTAGGAAATCTGATAACCGCTAATACATTTGAATGCCCATTTAGACGATCTTCTATCTTTTTTTGCTCCATAACTTTTGTAGCCTATTAAAACCATGACATTCTCTCAAAATCAAAGATGTGCAGCTTGTGTATGTACTATTGTGTATTATGTGATAATAAAGCGCAATATAAATTATGTAAATTATAAACTTTAAATTCAACTAATATGAATACGAAGTGTAGGCTGCAGTAATATTTTGGCAAACATCCCATGGAGCATTATAAGTCCTGATGCAGTGATTTTTTAAAACTCAAACCAAAATGGTAAATGTGTTTTTTTCTAACATAAAAATAAAAATTCTATATTTATGGATCAAAATGAAAATGTAAGAAAATCAATAATAAATCTGGCCCCAATAGGTGGCATAATATTCCTAAAATAGCGAAACAATGTCTGCCAGTGAGCTAAATATAAAAAATGAAATTATGTTTTAAAAGAACTCATAATAGTAATAGGAATTAATTGAAAATTTATTGAACACATCATTTTCTATGATGAAGTATAATGTTTACAGTATTTTTAGATCTTTCTAGATAGCATTAGACACGATAATGGTATTACGTATTCATAGAACCGTAGCTTTCGGTAGCGTTCTAAGCAATTAGTTTTAGTTTGACTGCAGCAACGTGACAATACCCGATATGAATAATGTTTCATTTATTATGGTTTTACCAATAGGAGTTTTAATTTTGATGCAAGCCTCGGTTCTAGCAATGGCTCCAACAGAACCGACAGTAATAAATAATTTCGTAAGTTGCGTTAGTGACTTAATTAAAATAAATTTTATCAAGCCTGGATTCTTAGTTTTTGTAAATACAGAAAAATCTAGTTCTCAAGTTCTGAACTTAAGGAATGAGTTATTGGAAAAAATACATAAAACAAGAACATACATAGTTCAAATAAGTGTATCTGATGAGCTACCAATTTGTGATGAGGTTGAAAATTTTCATATGGAATTATGGGAGCCATTTACTGGCACGCCAGTTGCTGATTATTTCGTGATCATCATTGAAAACTATAAGGATTTTACATATTTAGCCAGAAAAATGATTCGAAACAGATTTTGGAATCCTCAAGCAAAATTTATAATATTGTTCTTTCCTTTAAAGAGTACTGATACAAAAAATCTAAGAACAGTAGAAAAAATTTTAAGTTGCCTATTTAAATATAATGCCATAAAAATAATTATTGGAGTTCCAAGTATTCAAGATGCGCAAAATACAATTATTTACAGTTGGAAGCCGTACGATCCACCCAAATTTTGTGGATATTTCAATGAAACTGCTCATAACAGACTAATAGTTGTCAACTATTGTCAAAATGGAAATGTTAAATATAAAAAAAATATATTGAAAAATAAACTTCCAATAAATATGCAGGGTTGTATTTTACAAATTCTAGCCTTAGAAAGATTGCCATTTGTTAGTAAAAATGAACGAGATGCAAACATTGAAAGGAGAATTGTAAACACAATGTTAAAAAAATTCAACTTCACTGTACAATATGAAATAATAAATGCATTCAGAGGTGAAAGAAATAAAAAAGGCGTCTGGGATGGAGCTCTCAAAGAACTGATCGCCAGAAAGGGCCATGTTCTTTTAGGGGGCATATTTCCTGATTTTGATGTACATGAAGATTTTGAGTGTAGTACTTCATACTTAGCGGATTCATACACATGGATTGTACCGCGAGCATATTACTCACCACCTTGGATATCACTGTATATAATATTTCAAAAAATTGTGTGGTTTTCTGTTATTGCAGGATTTATTATGTGTGTTTTAGTGTGGATACTTTTAGGTTATCTGAGTGAAGATACTCATTATAATCAAAACTTAGGGCATTGTTTTTTAAATACATGGCTATGCTTGCTAGGCCTCGTTACATACATCCGCCCAAATAAAGAATGTTTACGTATATTTTTTGTATTTCTTAATTTATATTGTGTTATATTTCTTACGGCATATCAAACCAAATTAATAGAAGTTCTTCAAAATCCTACTTTTCAGGATCAAATAGATACGATTGAAGAATTGGTTCACAGTCATTTAAAATTAGGTGGTTCTGAAGAATTACATGATTTATTTTATAACTCTACTGATCCATTTGATTATTTACTTAACAAAAAGTGGATCAACGTGTCTAATATGACAAAGGCGTTACACGATGTTGCAGTGCATCGGAATTTCTCTGTATTATGTAGTCGTATGGAACTAACTTATCTTTCTTCGGTTTTACCGGAACTAAGCGATAGCTTTGGACTTAATAATTACTATGCGTTTCCAATAGACACATTTTCGGTTCCATTGGAAATTATCGCATTGAAAGGATTCCCATTTATGCGAAAAATGTCACGTGACTTAAATGTATATAAACAGATAGGTGTAACTAAAGGTGTGAAACGAGATTTTAAATTACTTAGCGAGAGAAAACGGGCTAAAATACTCTATACTTCCGAAGCTATCAAAAACTTTCATGTTTTGACCTTTCAACACTTACAAGGTGGATTTTTTGCGCTAGCTGCGGGTTTATTTGGTGGAATAGTTGTTTTGTTATTAGAACTATTATCAACACTTAAATTCGTTGGAAATTGACTTCAACAATTAACGTATTTCAATACTTAATTTAATAATAATATTATACTACAACTTTTTTGTTGATACATAAATTGTTATTATATTTAATAGTTATTAGATCATTAAAATATAACCATTATGCTAATTTATATTTCTTTGTTCAGCAGTTTTTGCATAATGATTGAAAGATTTGACGACACGTCTGGCTCAGTTTATAATGAACCTTCTTGCTGTTGTTTCATTTGTGTGATGAGCACGAATGTTTGTATTCCAGTCATATACATATTTTTTGTATTTTTCATGCATAATTTAATATTTTTTTTAAATACAACATAATATTGCATATAATTCTATCTATAAGTAGATACTAGTTTATTATAGAATATTTTTTATTAAATTCAATTCAGTTAATACTGTTGTAAATAAGATGAAGATGAGAAAAGTGCAATGTGAGGTCATATTGGTGCCGACATTGATAATTTTAAAAATATTTATTTTTCATAATAATGAATATAATAATATTGATTTGCATTTATAATGTAGTTTTATATCTATTAAAACGACATTTGGAATATTGCTAAATACAACAACACAAAGCTGTATAATACAATAGCGAGGCTTCGGCATCTAATGTACTAATTTGAAATTATTGACCCGAAAGTTTCGGATTTCACGAAATAGAACGGATATGATTGTTCTCTGAAACTTCAAAGTCAAGTTAATTATGAATTTTAATATAAACAAAAACAACTAAAAAAATCCATTCTGCCTCGTCAATAGCCACTGTTTAAATTTTTTTTAGATAAAATATAGGTATTATATTAATAATACCTTTAATTTTAAACTTAATTAATAAAAAATATGAACATTTAAAAATAGAATAAGAAAATTTAAGCAATAAAATAAAAGAAATAATAATTATTTAACATTTATTACAAAATAAGTGAACTATTTATTTACAATCCTGCATGTTTTAACATATTTAAAGTCATATAATGAATGAAGACTAGTTACTACTTAATTATATTTTATAAGTGTTTTATACATAGTAATCTCAATTTAGTATTTTATAGAAAAAAATACTTTCAAAACGTCAAATTATTTAGATTATTTGCAAAGCAATGACTTGAAAATTCAAGTTCAATCGTGCTATTAGAACAAGACCAAAAATATCTTGAACACAACAATATGGCGTATATAAGCTTCTTAAAGCTGACGTGCATTTATGAGGTTTGAGGCAGTGTTAATAATATTTTTGTGATTTATTAATATAGATCCTATACATATATTTTCCCTCCCATACACATATCATAGTATAAGAAAATAATAAGAAAACAGGAATTTTTAATCATATCAATTAGAATTTTTAACAAATATTTATTTATTATAAGTTAATGATTTATGTTATTGTAAAAATACTGATTTAATCAATTTTAAAATAGTTTATTGTGATTTTTAAATGAAAATTGTATTTGGTTTGTCAGCCATATCTAATGTCTGTATTTGACCAACAAAATAAGAAGCCCATTCTAGCCTTACTTACGTTTTCCAAACGAAATATGTATCAAAAAATGTAAAAACAACTTAAAAATTATGTACATATTTATAATACGATTTTACTAACGTCGCCATTGCTGGGGCCCAATAATTTGTGGCTGACTTTCAATCCTGTATGCCTGGGCCCCAGTTTGTATGGGAACTGATTTTCTCCTTTGCTTAGTTTTAGCTTCGGGTATTATAAGTATTATTAAGTATATTTTATTATAAACAGTATTTGGATAATTTATTCTATTACTAATATATAAAAATTAAGAGCTTGATTAAGAATATAAAGCACAGCCGCAACCACTGAATTTACAAAACTTTATTTAATTTTATATATACATACATTATTATTTATTTATTTTTTTGTAAAAAAAATCATTTTACATACATTTTTTTTAATAATACATTGCATAGGTTTAGACTCTACATACAGTCAAAACAGAACGTACGCACGCAATGAAAATAAAACATCAAAATATAAAAAAAATACTTATTTTTCACTTCTTTCTTTCACTTTCAAGACGACACGTTTGGCTCAGTTTGTAGTGACCCTACTTACTGTGCCAGCGGTCGTGGGTTCGAGTCCCGCTCGGGGCATTCATTTGTGTGATGAGCACGAATATTTGTACTCCAGTCATGGGTGTTTATATTTATAATGTGTATGTATTTAAAGTCATATATATGTAGTGTATCAACCATCTGGTATTCATAACACAAGCTTTGTGCTTACCATGGAACTAGATGGTGCTGTGTGTTAATGTCCCAACATATTTATTTATTAATTCTGTGGTCTTAATATTTAGTTAGCGCAGGAGTATTACTTATTATTATTTATGCATTCAATTTTAATTAAAAAATGTGATATTTTTAAAGAATTGAGAATCAAATATAAAAATCTACATTTCCTCATGTATATTTTATTTAATATAATAGTCTAGAAATCACTCAAACTTGAAATAGACTATTTCAGTTCAACAAACAAACAATACTTCTTTGAAGTACATATCTACTTTCGGTGAAACTAGATACGTCTAACAATAGTAATACTTGATACTGTAGAGCTTTCGATGACAAAGTTCTGGCGATTCTAAATCATTATCCAGTAAAGGTAATAGATATATAATAGATAGTAAAAGATAATAAGAACATAATTTATTTTGGTGTCTTTTAAGTTAAATAATTTGCTGGAGGAATAGTATTTTTTTTTTTGAAAGCAGGCACTGACTTCTGTAACACAAGCTTGGTATTTAACCTACGCCATAAATAAGCGCTGTGCATTTTATTTATAAAATATCATTTTATTTAATGATTAATGGTACAGTTAAATAAATTGAGAACCAACTATAATTTATAACTTCTCCCCATCTAAATGCTGTACATTATAATAAGAGTGGTCGGGAAATCGCTCTAGTTCGATATAGTCCATTTCAGTACACAATAAACGCTCTAACATTGAGACTACTTCTTTAAAGTCAGGCCGTGAAGTGGGTTCAGCCTCCCAACAATAATACATAATATTGTAGAGCTCTCGTCGACAGTGTTCTGGCTTTTCTAAACGATGTCCATCTCGCACCTGTTAAAGTATAAGTATAAGTGCTGTTATTAAATGATAGTTGATAATAATGTTTTGATAAATTGATAATGCTTGTTCTTCGAATATATTATTAAAAGTGTGTATTATTTATTAGGCTTTACTTTTATAATAATTTAATACTTCATATAAATTATATTTAATGAAATCATAGAGACTGAAAATATTCCTACAGATTGGACCAAATCGACCATAATTCTACTCCATAAAAAAGGAGATAGAGGAGAAATAGCAAATTATCGACCAATCAGCCTGATGTCGAATATCTACAAAGTCTTTTCTAAAATAATTTTGTCCAGAATCACATCTACACTCGATGAAAACCAACCGAAAGAACAAGCGGGGTTCCGTAGTAAATACTCAACAGTAGATCATATACATGTTTTAAGACAAGTCCTACAGAAATACAAAGAATATAATAAAACTTACTATTTAGGATTTGTAGATTACAACAAGGCCTTCGATTCTTTAGAACATCAATACATCTGGGAAGCATTGCGTTCTCAAGGCATACAGGAAAAGTACATAAGAATACTTAAGAGTATATACTCAAAAAGCACAGCCCAAATCAGGCTGGAAGCAACAGGAGAGGAGTTTCCTATAGAAAGAGGTGTTCGACAGGGCGACCCAATTTCACCCAAGCTGTTCTCGGCTGCCTTGGAGATGATATTCAAAAACCTCGATTGGAATAAAAACGGACTTAACATAAACGGTGAAAACCTGAACCACTTACGTTTCGCAGATGATCTAATTCTGTTCTCAGAATGCCCAAAAAAACTAGAACAAATGCTACAACAACTATCAGATCAAAGCATAAAAGCAGGGCTCTCAATGAACACAACAAAAACAAAAATTATGACTAATGCCTCACAAACATACAACATCATTGTGAACATGCAGAAAATAGAATACGTAGATGAGTACATATACCTAGGGCAGCTAATAGCTACACGGGATATTATGCATAAAGAAATTGACAGAAGAATAGCCAACACATGGAAAAGATTTTGGTCTCTTAGTGAAATTATGAAAAACAAAGACATGCCAATTAAAGATAAAAGGAAAGTATATAACATGTGCATTTTGCCATGTTTAACATATGGCTGTCAAACATGGTCATTAACAGAGAAACTAACTAACAAAATAATCGTATGTCAAAATGGAATAGAGAGAAGTGTAATAGGAGTAAGAAGGAAAGATAAAATAAGATTAAACAAAATTAAAAATATAACTAAATTTAAAGATGTAAATAAAGTATGCAAAACACTTAAATGGAAATGGGCAGGACATATGATAAGAGAGAAAAATGAGAAATGGACTAGAAGAATATCAGAGTGGTACCCCAGAGATGGCAAAAGAAGTAAAGGTCGACAAATGAAACGCTGGGAAGATGACTTCAAAAGAGTTGCCGGTCCAGAATGGATCAGAATTGCAAGAGACAGAGATAAATGGAATTCTTTGGAGGAGGCCTTTGTCGAACGACAAGCTGTTGTGGAAAAAACCGATCGTCGGTAACAAATGTAATAAACATGTATTATATTGTAACAATTGAAAACAGCAATAAAGGCTTTATTTATTATTTATTTATTTATTTATATAACTTATATTAATTAATTATGTAAAAATATGTAAATTAATTTAAGAAATACAAAATAGGACTTTAAAAATTTAATAGCAACCAAGCAATTTCACACTCAACTTAAGATACCACTTAACCGATGAACCTTCATATAATATACATACAAAATTACATTCTCGCTACTTAGGTGAGCCGCTGCTCACCCTTGTTTCGCTCGGGTTCGCCTCTAGAAAAACAAAAACAAACCTATCCCACGGGAACCGTACATTTTCCGGGATAAAAAGTAACCTAAGTGTTATTCTGATGTAAATGATATATTTTATTGTAAAGTTTCATTAAAATCCATTCAGTAGTTAGTAGAGTAACAAACATTTATACATCCTCACAAACCTTCACATTTATAATATTAGTATAATTTACCTTTCTCATAACATCTCCAGCTGAAAGGCCCGGGTACGGAGTGGAGCCTAATGTCACAATCTCCCATAGAAGCACTCCAAAACTCCAAATATCAGACTTAACACTAAATATATCGTCGTATAACGACTCTGGTGCCATCCATCTGCAAAAAAATGTTTTTATTATGCTAAATAAAACTTATGTAAAATGTTTATTTTAATTAATATCTCTACATATTACTTGAGTGCTGTCTTTCATTTAACATTATTATTATATTATATTATTTTCCTGCCCGCGTATTAGCCTTTAGCAATTGACAGAAAAAGGGGCTTTTAAGGCAACTCTGTTGTCTCAAACATCAAAAGAGGTAGGTAACGTTGCTCATGGCAAGCATTTTCCAACACGATGTCAGACGCCACTTTTGGCTATGGCAATTAATTGAATTAAGAATTAAAATAACGAACAATGTTCAAAGGAAGTAAGCAAATTCAAACTGAAAATAAATTGATTAATTTGTTATTGGATTGTAATTAACTTTATTAACAATTCGCTTTGTCTTTTGTTAGATATTTTAGATTTATATTAAGCATTTCCTTTAAATTTTTATTGACGTTAGAAGGCAATATTATGAAATATAGTATTATTTAATTATAAAATACAAAATCAGTTATAAAGGCACTAAAACGGTAATAAATTCGAATATACATAATAAGGGTTTTTTTAAACATTCTGTAAATAACAAACAAAAAATAAATTTAAATTACCGTATTGGCAAACGTCCATCGCTTTTTCTTTCATATACGTGAGTTCCTGCCACGTCCCTTGCAAAACCGAAATCGGCAACTTTGCACGTTCTGTCTTCAGTGATGAGGACGTTACGAGCAGCCAGATCTCTGTGTATTATCTGTTAAATAAAATTATCATATTTATAAAACCTCATTTTCTCATTCAGCTCTTTTTAATATCCCACTGCTGGTTACGGGTATCCCTTCAATGCGAGAGGGATCAGGCTGTATTCCAACACGCTGGCCAAGTGCATGTTGACGGACGTTCATAATGTATACTTTAACACCTCCAGGTAAATTTCTAAGAAATCTATTGTTAACTGTAACGCCGGCGTGTCCGCGGTCGTGGAGGGATTAAATTATATTCAATTTCAATTTAAAGCATGTCATTGAGAAATTATATTGCCAACATCACATAAAATAAATAAAATACGAGGGTGATTGGAACATATAATATCGGTTGGTTACAGTTATAAAAACTTAAAAAAAACCGACTTCCAGAAAGTAAAATTTAGAATAGATACTTAATCAGATATTTTCGAACGTATTTAAAATTTTGTGTCTAGACTGTGAGCCGTTAAGGAGTTGTTTTATTTGAAGCCAATTTTTAATGGAGGAACTGGTAATAATAATAAAAATTCATTGTCATTGGAACTGAACCAACCTGTATCAACTTTGTAGGGAAAGAGAAAGTGGTTCCAATTCAGCTTGCTATATTTGCCTCTTGTAAATATACCAATTAACAAGGCATGTTAAATAAAAGCTTATACTCGTAGTACAAACACAAAACGTTCCATTTGGTCTTGTAAATAAATGAATTATAAATCTTGTAAATATATGAATTTATTACGCTTGACGTAAATTTCATTAAATGTATTCATAATCTATACTAATATTATAAAGAGGTAAAGTTTGTGAGTTTGTTAGGTTGTAGGGGGTAATCTCTAGAACTTTTTATCCCGGAAATCATCCCTTAAGGGGGTTAAAATGGGGATAAAAGGTTGTGTTGGGAAGCAAGCTAGGGATGAATCCGAGCGAGGCGAGTGTTAGTCGCTAGTGTTATTATAAAGTGACAAATACTGACTGAATTAAAATATATTTTTACGTTCCTGAACCGAAGCTCGATATATTATGTAACTTATGCTTCAAAAAAATTGAAACACCAAACAGAGATAAAAAGCGATTACTTTTTTCCTTTGGAATGCTAGAAATCCAATTTATTTAAGTCTACTGACATGTGGTTACGTTGGACACGGTTGTTGCATAGTACTTGTACAATGACGATTTTACGATTTATTTTATTTAATGAAAAAAAAATTAACTGTATTTTTTAATTGTAACCAGATGTAATAGGAAAGAAACATTATGGTTTATTTTGAACCTCGATTTTTTATGTTAACCCTCTACCTACAGGAAATACAGATAACTCTTTCCAGACAGACATTTTATATTTTTATACTATGTACAATACATAGTAATGTTAGCTCAAGCATTACTCTTAATCTCGAGTAGTCCAATAATAACGTTGGCAGTTAAACCTCCTACTCAATATTATCTGGATTAGCCGTCTATTTGTCGGTAAATATAAAGTACTAGCAACTTGCTAAAGTAAATCGTATAATATTGTTTACTAGGACTTAGTAGCATAGTATGGTTAGTTTTATCCTTAGGTAGGTTTTAATTTTTTTGAACGGAACCCTAATTCTTTTTCTAAAATAAAAGTAGCCTCTATCATCCAGTGAAAGTCTCGTAAAAATAAGTCCAGCCGTTTCAGAGATTATCCGGAACAAACAGACAGACAAAAATTTTAAAAATTGCGTTTTTCTTATAAGTATAGTATTAATAATTTCATATGCATTTAGTAAAAAGCTGTTATTTTGACATTACAAACAGACATTTCAATTTTATTTATCTGTATAGATATGCCTAGTTGCTTATTAGTAGCCTATGTGTTTGCCAATTCATAGTATATCTGTATACTAAATTTCATCCAAATATACACACATACATACTTAGGCATTTATAGTCAGAATATATTACCCCATTAGAACTAAGGAAGTCCATGCCCCTCGCGACTTGGAAAGCGAAGTGCGTGAGGTCTCTCGAAGTGAGGAACTGACTGCCACCATGTGTGTTACCGTAGTGGCGCTCAGCCCGAGAGTCCCTTAAAAATTGTTGTAGTTTGCCCAGACTGACAAATTCCATGATCACGAATGTTGGTTCCTGTTGAAAATAATGACTTTTAAATAATTTAACTTTACTAAAATAAATTGCGTTTGTGAACCTAACAGAGCGACAATGTCGTCTTAATGACAAAATTCTTAAATAACTAGAAGACAAAATATACTAAATTAACCTTATAGCAATGTTTGCCTAATTTCATGAGTTCTGTTTTAAAAAATATGATGGCCTCCTGATCGATTTCGGCCTAGACTGCAAATTTCGCAGGAGATATTATAGTACACTCTCTATTCCTGTCACTCTCATAACCCGAACGACAATTCGACACTCGCGGTTTGAGATCAGGCGCAAGATCAAAGCCTTTCCAGGCAAATCCGGACTGTTACTGAGACCTTGACCTAGCCCGAGACTCGAACCCAGAATCTCGGAATCAGCAGCCGTGCTAGTCACTACACCACCAAGGCGGTTTAAAAAATATAGAATAAATTACACAATGAAGGTCATAAAGCGTATAGTATTTATTTAAATAGCTTAACAAGCGTGCCAGGTGAGCTTATTAGTGTAATACCACTAATATAATTTTTGGTCGCGGTTTCACACGAGTGGTAACTGGGACGGGAATCAAAAATTCATTCTCAAGAAGCAAATCTATATCTTTGCCAAATATTATCGAGGTCTATTCTGCGGTTTAAGCTTGAAAACGTAACAGGCAGAGTTACTTGCATATTTATAATATTAGTATGGGTTTATAATTTGTATAATGCGAGTAAATATTTTATACATTTGTCGTAATCAAACTAAAAACAGATGTGTAACAGTATTTGTTAAATTACATAGCAACTGGGCGTCGTATCTATGTAGTTTTTCCATATGGCTAATATACGCTGGAAAGTGGCATGGGCAATTTTCTACCACAACACATTGAGTGGTTACCAAGGCATATTTATATTTTAATTTCTAAATTGGGGCTATGAATTATCATAAGTATATAAGTAAATATAAGTGCTACAGGCATATAGGCATGCTACAAAAAAAAATATTTTGAGCGGTGAATTTACCTTTTCAGTGCAACATCCTATGAGCCTGACTACGTTTGGATGGTTTCCCAAATTCTTCATAACAGTTAACTCTTGTATTAAATCGGTTTTCTCCTTTTCTGACGCATTTTCTTTTAAAGTTTTCACAGCAACTGTCTGCTCTCCTTTTTTACCTGAAAAATAGTATGATGCATAAAAAAATCAATAATAAAACAAACTTTCTAGTTGAGATAGTGTCGAGTGCCTAGATATCGTGTGTTATATAGAGCTTTTTATGATAAGCGGAAGGCGGCCCGTCCTCGTTTCGCTCAGGCCCTAATTAAAACTTTTTGTAATAAAGTAATTTCCTACGTCAGCCACAGAAAATTGCCACTGAAGAATACTGTAGCTTCCTGTTAATGTAGTAGAGTCAGTAGTTCAGGAATATATCAGTATAATAAGTCTAATATGTATAGTTGTAGTCTAACAATAAAATTAGACTGCTGTTATATGAAATGCGAAAGTTTTTATGTGTATGTTCGTTACTCCTTCACGCTCAAACTGTTGGACAGATTTAGATGTTTAGTACACAGATGTGTACAGAACAGTGCCTATGGCTTGTACGTTAACGTATCTCTAGTTATCTGTATAATATTATAATATTTTTTCTATGAATATGGGTCAAACATGATTTTTTTAATGCAGAACCTACACTCTGACAGTCAAATACGTAAACACTGCACTATTGTTGCAAGTATATTTATTTAATTAAAGTAAAAATCGGTGGAGAAATGTAAATCATTGTAAGATATACGGCATTATTTTATGTAGTTAATTATCTGTCCCTACCACTATTATTTTAGCAAAGTTCTTAAGACGTTTTGTGTTTGCATTTTAGGAGTAATTCTAAGTATTTTTTACATATATCTCAGTTTTTATTTTTTATATTCATAAAATTAGTTAAGATAACTTAAAGCCTATTTATAAATTTTAATGTTTTACAATTTTTTACCCTTATTTTGTAGTCATGCTATTTTCTTTTTATATTAGCAGTGCATGTATGTAATTTGTTGGTCAGTGCTATGGACACCTGTAAGAGACTAACATACTAGAACTTGTGTATTAAGAATGAATTTAAAATGTATTTGTGTGTTATGTTGTTGGTGTTCTTAATAAATAAATAAAAAGTAAGCGTAGAATAATTTACAGTCAGAACCTTCTAGAATAATTAATTCGCACAAACTAATGTTGGTACGATCTTCGCTTTAATAAATATTGGAAAGCCTTTAGTGTGTTTTCTTACTTAATATGTAATTCTAAATACTGCTGTTTTTTATTTAACAATAATTCTTTATTTCTTTAAGTGATTAAAATTAATGCTTTGATGATGATCAATATGATGAATTAGCGAGAGTTAAACAGATTTGTATACAATTTATCTCAAGCTGTAAGAGCATAAAATTTTTACCCTGGTAATAAGTTTTCATGAGTTATTGAAATTTTTTTAATGTTATTTATATAACATCTTTTTTCAGAACTTCTCAATGGATAGCCAAATTGCCAATGAATATTAAACTGAACACTCGTGACTTTGCTGAAGCCTTATAAAGAAACTGTTACTTATCAAAATTCACTAAACAAAAAATAAATATAAATAAATCATATTATAATACTATATCAATTTCAATGTATTTCAATTTATTTATTGGTACATAAATGAAAGATGTCTTCGTCTTCACAAAAAATATTGTTTACTACTTTTTTTATTTGGATGCTTACCGTCTATATCAATAGCTTGTGCTCGCCATACTTGTCCGAAGGCACCTTCACCGACAATATTAAATATTCTTATTCGATGTCTCGGAAATTCCCATTCATCGCGAGGCTCATCTTTGCTTATCGTTGTTTCTTCGGAAAGCTGGAAAATAACGTCAATTATATTTCATTGCTAAAGTTTTATTAATATATAATATTAAATGCTACAAAAAACAACTTTATATCTAATATGTTATAATCGATAAGAACTCTGAAGAAAATAAAGACTGGGATGAATATTTTACAATGACGATGAATGAGATGTTTGAAATGTAATAAATGGAGCCAAAAATGTGTCAAATTTATAATCAGTTTAGTGTTCGCATGTTAAAATAACTCCTCATCAGCACAGAATCCAATTTAGCATTGTTTTATTTTAATTCTACGTTTTATTATCTGTATGTCTTGTAAATACGTATTACTCAGAAATATGATGCGCTCTAACCCTAACGAGCGAACCTAACGAGCGAAGCGAGAGTACTTCGCTCAGGTGCGTGCCTCTGGGCTTCTAACAACAGCCTATGTTTTAATCCAGGCCATAGTATATCTATTTCTATATATTAAATTTCCTACAAATTCGTTCAGCCGTTTTTTCACACCACACACACATACAAACTGTCACGTATTTCGATTTAAACACTATATTTTTTATTTACGTGCGCCATTAAGCAAAAAAACCAATAATGATAATGTATTGCTTTACGTCATAGTTGTATGTATGTAATATGCAAAACTAGTTTGAAGCAATCAATCTATTTCAAAATATTATTAACAGCGATTATTTAACGTCATTGTAGATTCACGTACAACGACGTTAAATAAAATGACGTTAAATATAATATACCTATTAACTATGATTCATATATTCTTTTATTATACTAAAGCCTTCCTCAACTAAAACGCGTTTGAAAGGAATAATTATCTAAAATCAAATAGTTTTTAAATTAAAAATATTTATAAAAACGTAAAACAGTAAAAAACATATTATTAAATTAAGTGGGATGTGTGATAAACAAGATAACATCGTAAGAGTATATAACGCGCCTAGTGTAAGTCGCTAAGCTAATCCAAAGGCATCAACAAGTACGGTACCTAACATAGTATTTGCAGCTATTAAAAACGAACGTCCACAAACAATCTCGATTTTTCAACAGCCGGGGGTTCTTACAATCCACGTTGTACACGGAGGGTTACCAAATATAACGATTTTCTTTATTTCTTTTCAATTTTTATACAGAAGATAAAAAAGTAAATTTAACTTTTATTGATATACTCAGAATCAAAGAGGACTGCTACAAGATATCAAAATCAATATCTTGTAGCAGTCTTCTTCGTGTCATACCTACTAATAAATCTTAAATGATTCCATTCGTCTTGTACAAACTGTGGGCGTATATCAAATCTACAAAGTTTCTTTGCAATTTGAAGTTATCAATGCTAGCGGTGTTACACATTCGAGCCCTAGAGGATATGTAAAGCCTGCGTGTAATCTCTCACTAGTCATGACGAATTGTCGTCCCACTGGACTTTGAGAGTGAAAGGAATACAGAGTGTACGACGTACGTGTCAACGTCTTTTTGCACTATAATATCATATTGCTCATTTTTAAGAAATATTTTCTTACATAAGCGGCTTGTATATTGTTTATTACTGAAATAAAGGTGAAATGAAAAAGTAGCGTAAATTCATGCATTAAATAATTGTTAGTGATATATTGTTGTACAGTTTTACAAATTGTTTTCACCATCGGAGCAATTCGTTTACACGTTAATAGCATGTTGTGTCACGATTCTCGCTCACGATTTTTAACATTGTATATAATGCACTGAAATATTATTTTTAATTTAAATACCTATTGTAAATAAATGGTTCTTTATAGAATTTATTCTCATTGTTCATCGGATATATACGCTTAAATTTTTTTATAGTGTTTGCATTCTGCAATTAAATAATAATTACATACAATATTGTTAGTACGAGTACATCTCTAAAAAGGTATCAATGTGTTATACAACGATATAAGTTAACCCCTTTCTTAGGAACGAAATTAGTTTCATTCAGATCAGCTGATTCGTTATGGTGTGAAGCGGTAACAAACAAACACACACCTACACTTTCACAAACTTTTACATGTATTATAGAACTGTGCTTTATATAAGTTTATTAAATGTATACAATTAAAATTAAATTAATTAATAAATTATTAAATGTGTATAAATAAAATGTTCTTTGTTTTATTTGCAAGAAGGAACAAGTATTTAACTTATGTTATATGTTCAAAAAGACAGTTATTATAAAATATGTTTGTTGGATATAAGCAATTAATAATTAACAATTAATTCATCAAGCCGTTAATTGACTTTGTTTTGGGAAAAGCTTAGGCAATTTGGTACATTTCTGAAAGGGATTTTGAGTAAAATATTTTCTTTTGAGTAAAATATTTGAAATATGTGACAGACAGTGAAGTTTCATTTTATATTGTAATAGTTTATGAATTGATGGGAAATTCTATTGAATACGTGAAAATTTAAATAAATAATGAAATTTTTAAGGATATGAGATGATGAAACAAAATAAGATATGAAAATGAGAAGGTCAAAACTGACTTGCAAATGGTTGTTATCCCAGGACTCATAACGATTTGAATAGGCTCGTGGGCGATCCCACATATTGAAGGCATGTGAATCTTGAAGCACGATGCCACTCGAGTCTTTGCTCTGTGGACAATCGGAATAAGGATGTAACATATAGAGTTATAGTTTAAAGTATTAGAGTTACTCGTATATAGCTATTTTTTATTTTATGGGGTGTGCATCACAAGTTTATAATATTCTGATGATAAAAAAATACATATTATAAATTAACAACCGTTGCAGTAGATATCAAAATATTTATTAAACTCACCATATCATCCTTTTCCTTCTTTGATTTTTTAGCTTCATTCTTTTTCCATACAAATATTATAACTCCAGCCACTACAGCTACTAGTCCACCAATAGCAACAACAGGTATAACTGTAAGCGGGAGGTCGTTTCCAATTTCAGTTTCTGAAACAGCTACTTTGGTATTGTTACGTTTTGGTTCTTGTGTATCGACCATTTTGTTTTTGTGTGGTTCATTTTCATCTTCTTTAATAGGATTAATTATAGTAGCAGCAGTAGTAGTAGTTGTAGTATCAGGTACAGTTATATCCTCAACAAACATTTCTGGAGCTTTGGTAATTCTTTGAGTAGTTCTTGTAAACTTTGGTGGCAGTGGAACGTTAGGGTAGCTTGGTATGGGGAACGGTGGTGGTCTAGGTACATTTGGTCTCGAGCCAGATCTATCTGTTATTGTTGCAAAAACTTCTGTTCTTTGTGGAATAGAACTTCCGTCGGAGGCAGTTACCCATAGTGAGTAAGATTTATTTTCCTGAAATTTTTAGACAATTAAATTTACAAGTTTGTCTTCTAAAACTTATTTTTTATATAACTTGTATATATAAATTTACTATTAATTAATAAAGTATTGTTTAAGTAAACAAACGTCTAATATAGCGGAAAAAATATAATATTAATATTACACTCTTTGGTTTTTAGGTAAACACGTCATGTGTTATGCTCTTATTGTATAGTAGTAATCAAAGAAGAAATAAATACTCTGACAACATGAAAATACTGCTATTTTAATTAAACCAAATCAATTCCATGACATCAAATCGAGATAATATTTACAACGCGTATGTTTACCAATTCTTAGAGACAACTTGACCAATCTGGCTAATTTAAGTTGTATTCTATTAGAGTAAATTCCAAGGTTGTCAATTCTTGACATAGAGTCCCCAGTTTTGAATACAAAGAAAAGATATGAAATTATTAAAATATAAATAAAACTGTAGACTAAGTACCTACTGTAAATAAAAAAAAAACTGCGAAATGCAAATGCAAATCGTCACTAATTTTTTAAGAAATTTCATCCATTCATGTTTATACTTTATAGCTTTAGAAGATAGAATAGACAGATTTTTCCCAATTTCATTCACAAATATCATCATTACTAGTAGCTTATTCCAGCAATATGCTTATAAATTATAACTTATAACGTCTCTAGATAACCTATTTTTCTATTACTGAAAACCGTAACAAAATTCTGTATTTTAAAGCAAGTCCACTTCTGAGCCCTTATTAGCCTAAATCAGCACAAATTCAACACTACGGGAGTCTCGAATTTATGATATACATAGGTATAGTGATAATGATATTTACCTTATCCTTTAAAGTATCGTTGACAGTAACAACACCGGAAGTAGGATCGATTGTGAATGGAGTAGGCGGCCCACTTGTTTCTAGTCCATATGTGACTGGTCGCGATCCTGTTCTATCTGTGAATACCCTTGTGACTATAGCACCTATAGGGTCAGTGGACATCACGAGCCAGTTGCGGTCGACATGTATGATTGCTGGTAAGCCGAAGCCAGGAGGAAATTGTGATGAGGCTGTAAAGATAAACATTTAATTATATATATATATATATATATATATATATATATATATATATATAGTTATTTTAGTAATACCATAGTCTAAACAAGATAAAAACAAACATACGTTGTTAATTTTATGAATTTTATGAAAAATATTATTCTTCCGACAATAATAATTAACTGTGTAATAGAAAAAATCTTCTAATTAACGATGTTTAGAGTAAAACTGGTTGCTTTAAGGAATTTATGCTAATAAAATATTAAATACATAGTTTTTCATAAAAAAGTCAATGTTTGTGTTATGTCAAGGTGTTTCGTGATGTAATAAAACGAAAATACCCCTAACTGACCAAGTCGTTAATATTACAAAAAAAATATCAAGATTATTTTAATGCAATAAAAATATACAATACGAATATAATTATCAACTTTATTCTTTATTTAATGATATATTTTTTTAATGAGTCCATCACCACTTTGAAATTTTAGGAGGCTCAAGATTTAGGTATTGAACAACAACAATGTTAAAATTTAACATATTTTAACGATTGTTATTCATCGCATTACACCATTAAATTAGTATATATATATATATATATATATATATATATATATATATATATATATATATTTGAAAATAGAATTCAATACTTCAACTCTTGTTTTTCTTCTCTCTTTTCTTCTTTCTCTTGTTGTTACATCTCTATGTTTATACTTCTACGTAGGTAGAGTTTGTAAACAGAAATGGAGTTCTACTAAGTTGGAGAAGATTACTTAACTGCACTACAAGGTGCTCGATTGAATAGTTAATTTAAATTTCAACTACAAAATGGATGAATTGTACTCCTAAACAGCTTTATCTTAAACAAAACTTAAATTTTAAAACCTTATCTAATTTCTACGCCTGATCTTTAACTCTTTTTTATATAAAGTCCCATATAATTGGTACTAACTAACACAAATATATTGTGAGGTGGTACGAAACACTTGGTGCACAGGGCCGTATTTAACCAACTTTTTTTTTTTAAGACTGACGTAGTAAATTGTTCTCAGATGGGTATTTAAAGAAGTTCATCGTATCTTTTCCATTCTACGGGACCTTAACGAAAATATAAGAAACATAAAATAATATATTCAAAAAATTTAAGATAGTAAAAGGTAGTTCTGAAATTCGCGTTTAATAAAAGCTGTATGAAAATGAAATCTGCTACTTCTAGCGTGACAATCAATGCTTATCAATATATCTAACGTGGGCACATAAAATAATGTTATTATAATAATATTATATGAACTCCCTCGCTTGATTACAATATAATTCAAACAAACAACATAGCGGTATTAAACAAGCTTCATTATGGAAATTTCTCCATGACCTAGGCCTTTGAAGATGTAGCATGACTAAATAAAGTACCTATTCCTTTGTGTCACCGCAATATTTCATCTCATCAATCACCTTGTGACAATTGTAAGTTAGAGAAATATCGAAATTCATTGAACGGCAATATGAAATAAACAGCGAAAATAATTTTACTCTTTCAATCGTGATTGTGCACAAGAAAAATTCGATGCCCGCGAACAATGCTAAATAATTTCGAATCACTACCGTACTGAATTGAAGTGAATGGGGAGTTTGTGTATTTTTCTGAAGGCCTTTCGTTAAAACTTATTTAAACTAAATTGCTAGTTTTCGTACCATCAACAGTATTGTAAGTATGATCATAGCTGGATCACTAAAAACTTTTATTTGCAAATTGAATAAATGACATATAACATTCATTTTAGATTTCGTTTAGGCCGCGACCTAAACTGAAAGTCTTTGAAGCACACGATACGCAATACCAAAACGATTAATTTTAGGACGTAAATTGAGTCGTAATATGAGTTGATGGTAGGCCATCTGAGCTCTAGAGTAGCCTATATGGACTTCATTATTCATAAGAGAAAAAATCGGTCATGTGGAAACCCGTTGTGGCGGTACCCATTCGATATTTTAACTGTCTTTCATATAAATTCATGATTATAGGACAACGGGAAATAGGTCTTGAATAAAGTGAATATAAAAATATGTGACAAAAATTTTCCTATCCTATGATCGCGTTGATTTAGAATAGAATTTTAAATTATTTACACCTACAAGAGGCCATTGTACAAGTTCTTGCTGATGTTAACTCTGGTTCTTATGAACAAAGCCTTAAATAAATCGATCTTTTCGGATTATTTCGCGGATTTATTTTGAATTTTGGTTCCCGACGTTTCGAATGCTTAACAGCAATCATGGTACCGGGAGAGACTAAGGTTCTAGATGTCTCAAGGTGTTATGATATATCTACTTGTTACAGACAGTGCCTACCTACAATTTTACAAAAATGATTTCAAAAATTCAAAATTGAGGTACTTTAGTGTCATTAGATCTAGTTGTCATTGAAGGTACCTATGTATTAGGTTAGTTTTATATTTTTAACGATATTATTTCAATTAATTCACCACCAGAAAACATAAAAATATTATTTAAATTGATAATAGGTATAATTTGTGTTTTCAAACACACACTCACATACAACTTTCGCATTTATAAATAATAATAGGATTGTAATAGTGTGAAAACTTATACTTATAAAATATTCGCTTTATAATGGAAGCTCACAATATAAGGGTTGTGTAGCTTATACCCAAATCCTAACAAACCTCCAACCAAAGATAAAAATAAATCTATTCAACGATACTAGGAGCGGAGAGCGGAAGAGTGACCTCACTCATCATGCGTCCGTCGTATCATGTATGACGAGTGACGACCCATGTTAGAGATATGTATTTTGTATTTTTTATAAACCTCGAGAAAATGTTCTTAAAAATTTTAATAGTTCGAATGTCTAAAAAATATGTATTATAAATATATAAACTACTAGCTACTCAGCCTCGCTTTGACCTTAGGTGATTCTTTAAATTGACATAACTTTTTTTATTTATAAACCGACTAAAATAAAACAAATACTCAATGTTAAGTAAAGCTTACCATAATAATGTAATGTTATCTCCTGACCGATTCCGGCCACGGCGGCCAATCTCATTGAGACTAGCCAACTGCGCAGGAGATATTATAGTGCTCAAGTGTACGCGCAGACACAAGTGCACTCTCTATTCCTGTCACTCTCATACTCCGGTGGGACGACTGATCGACACGACCAGTGAGAGTTAAGGCGCAGGACCGACGGCTTTACGTGCTCTCCGAGGCATGGGGGTGAAACACCGGACTGTTACTGAGGCTTACTACACAGAAAGACTCAATAACTAAACTTGGCCCGACCTGGGACTCGAACCCAGGACCTCCGGGTGTGAAGCCGTACATGCTAGCCACTACACCACCGAGGCAGTTAATAAGGCTTACCATAATACATTAGTGAAAACCGCACCCAAATTGGTTTAGCCGTTTCTGAGATTAGCGCGCACAAACGCACAGACAAACAGACAGACAAAAACATTTTTTTTTAATATCTTCCATGTACAGACAGTGATCAGTTACAATTTTATTATACGTACAGATAATCCATAGCTTAAAAATTATTAATTTATTCAATTTTCTTGTTAATGGCTTTAAAGCGTGCCAGTTGAGCATAAATTGTTTCGCCAATGTAACGTGGTATGGAGAAGAATCGAAGGAAAAAAATATTATAACAATAGCATTTTCGAGCAAATTGTACTTAACGTACTTACTCCAGAGCGATACGTAACCGTTATCATAACGCATAAATAAAGGAATCTCGATAATAATCTGACCATATTTAGACGCGGCATATTATCTAGAGCTCAGACTAATATTATATAGACAGAGTGTCATAGAACTACACATGAATCCAAACAATATTTTCTAAAATAGTATACAAATGACAATTATAATTAAATAAATGTTAATTAATAAAAAAAGGTAAAGGATTTAATTAAAATACCGAAAAAAGATAAATAAACTAAAATTTAATAATATATCCTTATTCTTTAAAGTAAGTAAACGACAAACGTAAATCTGTATGGCAACATCGAGAATAGTAGAATTGACAGCTAAACACGTTTTTAGTTTTTGACTCTAATATTTATTTTGGGAGACGCCATCTATACAATTATTAAGCCTGAGATTTATAAATATACTAGCATTGCTTGCGGCTCCGCCCGCATTCAGGTGACCAAAAACCAAATTCTTAGGTTTTTGTATTTTTTGTCAAAAATGAGACATTTTCCCGCGGTAAAAAGTATCCTCTTATCCAGATAACCAGCTATCACCATACCAAATTTCATCAAAATCCCTCCAGTGGTTTTTCTGTGATGCGGTAACAGACAGACAAAATTTCTAAAAACTATAGATTCGGCCTCTGTATCGATAATAATGTTTATTTCAATAAGATTTTCCAAAAAAATATTTAATGTACAGATTCGGCGTAGTTACAATTTTATTATATGTATAGATAAATCCTTGCCTTTAATACATTAAGACAAATATATTTATGGCCTAATAAAATGCCCAATCTATAACTGGAACATTGCCTATTACATAGTAGCTTCTGTAAAGACTGATCGTAAGTACCTATTAAGTTAAACCATTCAATTCAAAGAAATGCAATTGAATGTCATTGTTTTGTATTCTATAAATAATAGAAAGCCGTCTTTAATACTCTGTTGATTATTCCATTATAACGAGTGCGCTGACCTCAGAGTTCTTAAGCGGCTCTTTCCATATAAAAATATGCGATAGCTTTTTTTTATATATTAACAGAAAGGCTATGTTATGTTTTAATTAGTCTAATATTTTGAATGATGGTACCTATATATACTTTGAATTTTGAATTTATACATATGTTTAAATCTTTACTGATTTTTGTTAAGCCCTACTTATAATATTAAATGAGCAATTCTGGTATATACCTACTATATAATATATATATATATATATATATATATATATATATATATATATAAGGGCATATATATATATCTGGATAACCAAATTTCATCAAAATCTGTCC